AATACTAATTCTCAATCACAATTGTTTAACTGTATGTGACTTTTTTTTTAATTGAAAGACTTTTGGACCTGTTGTACATTGCACAGTATAGAAAGACTCTTCGTCTTGGAATGGTTTCTTTGTTGTATGACAGTTTTCTCTTATAAATCCAGCAATGTTGTTGCTGATGTTCATGCATTAATTGATTAATAGACCTCCTGGTATTTGAAGTTGCTTAATGCTTGCCTTTAAAAGGCCATTTTTATTCCTGCTTGTAGTTTTTTAAAAATAAAAAAATTTTATTTTTAATGTTTCAGTACACTGGGTCAGTGATTTTTCAAGAACAAAATGAAGGATGTTGCCAAAGTTAAAAACCATCTCTAATTCTGTTGCATTCCTTTAAATTTAGTGTACCAGATCCTCTGCAAACAGTAAATAAATAGGTTATTCTTACACCCTTGCCCGCCTAGGGTAGCTGAGAGGCATAAATGAAATTAGGGAGTGAATAGTCCCTCACATACCATATTGGAAAGAATAAGACAGTATTTCAGTAAGTTTGCTGTGATAAAGATGGGTGCATCAGACTGATTTTAATTGTGCTGAAAAGGAATGAATTCAGTTGTGGTCAGAGGAGTGGCTTAGAATTAATGCTGGTGTACATAAATGAAAATATTGTCTGTATCTGTTTCTAAAACTGCTTTAATTTTTCTCTAATCTCCAAATGCTTTTCTTTGGTTTTTTTTAAAACAAAATTTAAGTGGGCTCCTTTGTTTGGAGTCACCTCTCTCAGATCCTGGAGACAGATGATCCACTAAAGGAGCACCTTCGAGATTCTATTCCTGATGAAATCCTTAGCAGAGATTTTGAAAGGGAGACATGGAAATACTCCTCATATTCTGATGTCACGTTCCACTCAGGTATGTGGAGTTTTAGAACTTAGTGCTTTGTAGCTTATGGATTATTAAAATCCCACATGGCTTTTCTGGCCCTTTACATGTTGCTCCATGTTTAATTTTTATGACTTACACTTGCATATCTGGGTGCTATTAAGCTGATTCTGCTCTGACCTTAACTGGAGTATATGAAATGTAATTCCAGCAAACCAGACACCTTGAATCTTTGCCTTTTGTGAGAGAGGAGACTAAGAACCAATAAATTTTAAAGATTATTTTTGTGAACACCAAATTTGATTCCTTCCTTAGTGAGCTTCCTTTGCAGCAACAGGGGATTGGGATGTATTTTTTTTCTCCTGATTCATGTGCTTGCTTCCCTTTGTATAAGAAAATATTTAAACTATTTCCTTCCTATTTTACTATCTGTTCATCATTTGTTTTCAGTGCAAACACTAGATGATACTTTTTAAAGTAACATTTTGATTTTCTGTCCATTTCTTCCAGTGCATTTGTGTATGTTATGTATTGTAAATGCTCTTCTTTTGATGTTAGTGAGATAAAATCCAGTAAATATGGAATTCCAGTAAGTGGAAATTACTTACAGTAATGTCTTTGCTGTACTAAACAGTTAAATAGTTCCATCTACTGACAATGTTTTATTCAGCATCATCTTAACGAGCAGAGTTACAGTTTCCCAAAGAACTATGAGTTTTGCACAGTATATGAGAACAGCTGATCTCCAACTGACAGACATCTGGTGTTTTCCATTGCAGCTGGTGCAGGTGCAAATGTGGAAGCATCAGTGGTGTTTTCTCCTGCATCGTTTCTACCACGCTCAGTCATGACAAATCTGACCGTTCACCTTATGGGACAGGCTGTAAATCTACTGGAGGCAAGTTTATGGGTTTTTTTAACTGTGGGGTTTTTAATCCCCCTCCTCAAGGGACACTTGATGTATTGAAGTAAAAATAAGTGTTTTCTGTTTTCCCATTGTGGTTGCTTTAGCAAGGTGTGCTTTTCACTGCTACAGCACAGTTGCCCCAGACTGGTGACACTCCTCTGTACAAGAGATTTAGTCATAATAAGAGCACTGTCACTCTACTGGTACCATGAACTACCCAAGAGAGTTATAACTCAGCTCTTGTTTAATACAGCTCAAACTGTCCCATCATGTGTAAATGAACCAGGACCCGAATGGAAAAGGATTTTTATTTTGGACTGAGTTTTACATAATCAACCAACTAATTTTTGTGGAAATATTTAATGCTGAAATATCCAGTACTGAATGCTGCATGAGGTAGAATGCTAAACTTTGTAGGCTACTGGGATCTTGTTTGGCAAATCCTTCACTGTTGGTTGCATCTGGTTGTATTTATTAATTTCTGCTTATAAAACTCGACATGGCTTATGTAGGTCATTGCCAGGCTTTTCAAGGCTGTAATTGCTTTTCTCTAGGTTGGTGTGCGATTGGAGAATGCTGAAAGTCTGGTACAGAAGGTTTTGGGGCAGAAATCTGCTTCTTTCAGTGACTATTTTTTTGGAACCACTGATGAAAGAAACCACAAATCAGAAAACCCAGTGGAAACAGCAGAGAAAGTCAAGCAGAGGAAGCTGAATTTGAAGCGATACAGCCCTGCTGATCACCTTGTGACCAAGAGTGGGAGGCCAAAGCTGAGAAAAACAAACCAGAATTGTCTTGGTAGAAAGTACAGTAAAATGAACGAGTTAGTCAAAAAGGTAACTGACTCTGTAGATCTTGGAAAAATTAATGACATTCCCCAGTTAAGCTGAGGGCCTCATCCTGCACTGGACTCTGTTATGTGACCCCTTTGCATAAAGCACATGTGTCTTGTTCTGCTCACTTGCAGGAACTCAACAGCTGCCTAAAATACAAAGCAGCAAAGAGCCAGATCTTCAGTTTTTCAGGGTGCTCTATTGTCTCAAAACAATGATTCTCAGCCATGGGAGTATGTTGCCTGTGTTTTGGGCTTCCTCTCATTATTTTGAGCTCTGATCCCCTTTATACTGATGTCCTGTTGTCTATTGACTGCTTTGGCACTGTAAACAGCTGCTTGATGTTAAGTTCCTGTTGTTTGTGATCTGACTTCCCAGTTTGATGTTGGATGTTACATTGACCCTTTGTGAATTTACCCATATTTGAAAAGAGCTATGTTCTATGTACATAACAGGAAAGCTCTGAGAACTGACTTCAGTTGTTGATATGTTAGCTGGAAAACTTGGGGACCATGATTTATTCAGTTTGTCTTAGATCATCTCTCTTCTTGGGGCTCATCTTCTTCAGGTGTAAGCTCAGGAGCATGTGTGTTGCTGTTGTATTGATGCATAAGGGGAAAAAACGCAAAATCTTTACTTCTTAGCAGTTTATTTAGCAATCATGGCATCCCTAAAGTTGTATTGAGATTGCATTTTTCAAAGCTTCACCTCTTTGTGGGTATGGATTGCAATACTTCTCCTTTGCCAGTCATCCTGTGACTGGACATGACCTGTGTTCATAGTGGCAGTCAGCTTGTGTGGTGTGGAGCTGAATTTTAGCTGGAAAGAACAGGTACTAACCCAGGGCCTTAAGTGGTCTTGAAGTATTTGTAAAAGGGAGCCTAATGTCTCTTTACTAAGAGCCTGCACTGAGGAATTGTCTATTATGAGTTTGAAAGGAAATTATAACATCATTCTCTTTGATTTCTTTCTTTATCACATGTCAGTTCACTGAAAGAACGGTGAGAAAGGAGACACTGAAATGTGACCTAAGCATAAAAATCTTTGGAAATGAACTTACCTTCTTAGATTGTGAAGATTTAAGAAAACAAATGAAACATTATTCCTTAAATCTGGCTGAGTTGGCTGTCAAACTTCTGAAGGTAAAAGGAACCTTTTTTCTATTTGAAAGTAAATATCTTGAGAAACTACTTTCTGACAGATATGCAAAAGATACAAAATACTATTTGTTGTTTCTCTAAATTGAACTCTAAAAAGTCACCAGTGTATATTTGGTTTAAATATACATTAGTATATTTACACTCAGTACATTAGGCAAGGACTTGTTCTGTCATCTAATGGCTCTTATCTCTTGCTTCTCTCATTCAAATCCATCTGTGCTTAAATGAAAAATAATTCTTTCTTTAGCTGGGGTACGACTAAGGTCTAACTCATGCCATAGCCAAATGCAGGCTTTGGGCTACTTTCTTCCTGATGTCCCAAATCAGCTCACTTAAAAGCATTTTGGCAGCAGACAGATGCAGTCAATAGTTATAACTGGAAAAATTGCTGACTGCTGACTTTATTGTGCAAAATAAAATTCTGGGGTTTGTTTGTTTGTTTTCACCACAGGGTCAGGAGGTCCAGTTTAATAAAAGGATGAGTTTGGCCACTGAAGAATTGCAGTTTCCAGCAATTTCAGGCTTTCCTGTTCAGCTGGCAGTCAATGCCTCGGCAGCAATCAACATAAAAATCAAAGGGAATGCGGATTTCAAACAACACTCAAACTTCTTTCTGAACGGGTATATCAAGCCAAGGTAATAATTGCTGCATTGTGTCACTGCCACATATTCCTGATGTCAAGTAGCAATTCCTGATGTGGAAGTTTTCTGTGAGTGTCCCTTGTAATCAATTAGGAGATTCCTGAAGAACAAAAGCAGTCATCAGCCTGAATGGTGGCCATGGTGTGAGGGCAGCAGTGTTTTCCTGTCCTGCCTGTCTGATTTTGATCTCTATTGCTGTATGTCATGCTGAAGTCTGGGTTTAAATCCCTTACTTAGGAGATATAGTCATGGCTAGGCTTCATGAATGAAGATTTAGTAGGAGATATAGTAAAACTATACTTTAATTAGAACATGTATGTCTGTACATCCAAATTTTTCAATTATTTCTGAAACAAAATAGTTCATTATTTGAATCACAGAGTATAGTGTGTTACAGCAGCAAATGCTTATTGAAGAGGTTTAAATTAAGTGCTTTAAAAAGAAAATGCTTTTCATAGAAGGATATGTCTCTGAATCTTTCAACAGTGCATTTGTTCAGCTTTCTGTGCACATGGGAACTGTGGGGACTGTGGGACAAGCTGGCCTAGGCTGGTTAACAGGAATGAGGACATCTACTAGTCTTGATGGGGGAATGCAGGTGAAAAAAGGGCAAGAGCTCAAAGTTTTCTTGAACACTCCAGAAGAATCTATGGAGATAATTAATTTCAGGTAAGATTAAGCAAAGGCATCACCGAAAATAGTAATCATATTAACTTTCTGGAATCAGAACTGAGCTGACAGGCTCATTAATAGAGAAGAAATATATTTTGTCAGAAAACAAACTGTTTCAGTCTGACTCATAATCCAGATCTGTCATTCAGAAAAAAAAAGAAGGGGAAATTATTTGGTGCATTTTACATTATTTTACCATAAAAACGCACATTCAAATCAAAGTTTTATGATAAAAGATGTAAAATATTTTTTTTTCATACTCCTCTGTTTCTTCCTTCTGAATGCCAGTGCTGTCTCTGGAACTTTAGTGTCCGAAGAATCTAGTTCAAGGTATTAAAATGGTGGAGGAAAAGCTTAGCATTGCTCCTGCAGATGGCATTTAGCAATACCAGGTACAGAATGCCATTTAGGGAGAAATCTGGAGTACGGTAGTAACAAGGTGTGCTCAAACCCTTCTGGTGAGTTTTTAGTGAAGTTCTGAGGTTCTGAAAGAACTTCAAGCCTGAAACAAAACTGATGTCCATACATAGCATAAGGGAAAACAAAGTCTCTAGAAGCCAGGAAGTGAGTGGAGTTCAATAAGCTGACTACAGCAAATTGCTCAGAACAGAGAAATCTTATACTGACTGTGAAGAACTGCAGATGAATTCTCAAGACAGTGACAGGTCACACATGGAAACTGTGGATAAAAATCAGTGCTAATGAGTAGAAATCTAGACTAACCTTAGCAGAACTGCCTATTTCTTGTTTTTCACATATAACTGAGAATTTTGTTTAAATGTTGTTGGAACTTCAGCATAATTGTTTTTAAGTGACTGTTCACAATTGTTGGTTGTAGCTCTAAACTCTTCTTCAGAGGGGTGGATGAGACAGAAGAAAGAGATGTTTTCCAAGACCACACAGACACCCGATCTTGCACCAGGGAGGAAGGTGAGCCCAGCTAATATGTTTGTCTCAGAAAACCTGATCATTCTGAAAGATCCAAATCAGATCATTTTATTCAGTAGAGTTCATTTTTCATATACTAGTTCTAAAAGGTCTTCAGTGCAATGTTCCCTTGCATGTTTTCTTTGTTTGTTGTTCTAACGTTCAACTGTTGTCTTCCACCAGTGTCAGAGATTCTTGGCTGGCAGCTCTGTTCTGAAATGTCATACCCTGCCCTAGCCAGTGGTTTGGTTTTCCCCCTCGCTGGACCTTCGAGAGTGGCTGTCATATTAACAAAGAAAGACAGAGGCCTGCAGCAGTACGTTGTGGAAGCTGCATATAACTATATCCCTCAGGTACCTGTGGTGTGTTGTACTTTAGCTTTAGTTTGAGTTTATCACTCTGATGACAGAGTGGTATATCTCAGTACTGCATATTCAACCAGCTGTATTTCATGGTTTACATTATCATTAATTCATTCCCATTTTAGTGGGGAAATATTTCAAAAACAAATTACAGATGCTGATAGGAGGTACATATTATTTTTGTATACAAAGCAGCCCACACAAACAGTCTGTTGTCTCAGTGTCATAGACTGTTTTGTAATTGCCTTGCCAGTGACTAATGTGGTTGTCCTTTCTTTCTTCCAGGAGAATTCATGGATCCCAAATGAAGCTGTCTTTCGCTTCTTCATTGGTACTCCAAAGTCAGACTTGAAAAGGGATGTTGGTGTTGATCTCAGTTTTAGTGTCCCACAGAAGAAACTCAGAATCCAGTTTATACAACCTAAGAGAAAAATCGAGATTGATGGTAAGTAGGTTTTTCAACTAAGAAAGTGATCATCAATTAATATCAGTTAGGAGAACTTAATTAGAATTAGCTGAGAAATATTAATATATTTCAGTCAATAATCTAGTGCTGAAGCTGCATTTTTGTGTGTTAGGCATTCAATTTACTGCTTTAGGTAACACCCATTCCCAGGGGATTTTGCATCTTGGTTAACACTATGTTGCACAGTCAGAGGGTCAGTACCTGGTTCATAAACCCATGTTAGACAAGAAAGCTGCTACCAGAGTTGATAAAATTAAGGCTAAGGAATGTGGTTGCCTTGTCCTGTAATCTTGTACATATGCTGAACTGGCCTTACTATTTTGATTTGCTGTATTCTGTTAGTTATGATATGAAACTACTTGTTGCCAAATCAATGAAGTAGTGACTATGATATTGTTGTGCATTCTAATAAAAAGTAACATTTCAATCACGGTGTAACACAGAACACAAAATGAACAAACATGTTGATAAAATATAAACTGATAAATACATGGTAGGAATATAGGCAAGATATTTCAGCTTCTTTGACATACTGGTCAGGTGATGTTTTGTGTTGATGTATTCTACCAGATCACTTATTTAGAATTCGGCCCTTCATTTATTTTTGTTTTTTGATCCTGGTTATTTTCAAACGGATTACAAGGAAGATTTACCTACACTGTGCAAAGCTTTGTGTACACACTGTCCTGAGCTCCTGAAATGTCTCCACAGCACAACTTACAAGTTTTAGCACAGACCTAAAGGAAGTGTATAAATCAGTTCCAGAATTAACTTGGATTTTTGGAGAAAGCTTTGTTGCCTCTTCTCAGTTAATAACCTCAGAATGTCCTTTCAAAATGACAAGTGTATGCTGAGAACACTTTGAAAAATGCCTGTGCAAACTCTGATCCTAAATTTTTTCCTTTGAGCTGATACTTATTATGTTTTTACTCTGTATATATATTGTTCGTAACAATAGCAACTGTCATCTTGGGTACAGTTTTATGAAGCACCACTGAACACCGTGTGCCCAGAAAAAGTAAACAGTTTTATTTTTCTCCAAGGGAGGATTGAGTTTTCTAAAAATTCACGAATTGGACACCTGGAGCTGATAGTGGATGACCGAGACGTGTATTACATTAAGGTATGTTTTTAGTTCATGAGCAATCCATCAGAGAAACTACCAATTCTCTTTTTTACATATTTTTGAGATAGACTCGGTGCTAAATGGCTGCGTTTTAAAAGCTTTTAAAGCATGGCTTCTGCAAGTCATCTAAAGCAATTTTTTCACATTCAGATGTATTCAAAACCTTGAGGTTCCTTGCAGCATAAATTCAGTAGAGAAATTCACACACACTCCTGTGGCCTTTGGTCACAAAACTTTTCAGACCTGTATTCTGACCATGCATGACTAGTTCTGAGTAAGCTCAGGCTAATCTCCTCACTTCTGTGGACTCTGTAGATGTAAGAATCTCTAAGGTATCGTTATTTATTACAGAAATTGGGTGGGGGGGTGTGTGGAATAAGCAAGAGAATGTCAATATTTGAATGCTGAAATGAAAAAGCAAACTAAAATGCAGCGGGAGTTTATCACTGAAACTCTGCTGACATTTTTGTTTAAGTTCCAGGATATGAACAGTTTTTTTCATTATGCAGTTGATGCCCACAGCAGGATGCCATGTCTTATGTGAGCCTCCAAAGCCAGTTGGTTTCAAACACTCTGTATTTTCCTACAGTGAGCACGTTATTTACCAGATTTTTTTTTTCTAGAGTAATATTTCAACAAAGACTTTCTGAATTTTTCTCATGAAACCAAACACTAATTAGCATTGCAGACTGTTGCATTTGCATCTATTTCAGCCTAAATCTCTGTGAGACTGCCAGTATTTTCAGTAACACCATATTATTTTTTGGCCCAGTGTTGCAACATTCTTAGTGGTTTCAGTCACTACTAAAACCAGCAGGAGCTGAAGGAAATAGCATCTCACAGCACTGTGATTTTTGTGTAACTGGAAAAACAAATCCATCCTTCCTCCTCGTTATTTACTAATGGTAAATTTGATGGTTTGAGGGGAGGTGGAAGGTCATTTGTTGGGTGTATAGAAAAAAAAACCTTTTCTTTCTCTTCTCGTCTCATTTCTGAAATGCCCAAGTCTCTACTATTGCTCTCTCAAAGCTTGATCAATTTATGTTGTTGAGTGGCTTGGAGTTTGATTTTATTTTTTTTTTTGGTTGGTTGGTTGGTTGTTTTTTTATTCTAGGGAATGACAGATTTGCAGGTGCTGAGTGGAGAGCAGAGATACATGACCCAGCTGGAGGTAAAGCTGATAAAGCAAAGCAGTCCTGTCATTCTGTCAGGGAACATCACTAAACAGCTTGGCAAGAAGATAGCTTTCTCAGTATCCCTGAATAATTTATTGAAGGATGCTGCATTTCTTTCAGGTTAGAGGACAGTAAGTATTTGACATATAAATGCAAGTTCTGGAGCCCTTATATGTTAGGGTTGCCTGGTTATCGACACCTATTCCTAAAATTCCTTTCAAATCAGTAAAGACTGCTTTTTACAATTATTACCCTTGATCATAGAATAATAGGAATTACAAAATACATTTTTAAGTCTGCTTTGAATTAATGTTGGAGAGGGTGGAGGAAATAAGATATAAGGAATCACTTAACAAAAACATGCCAAACAATATCAGCTATTAGGACATTTCCTGTTTTCACTTTTGTTAGTACGGAACAGTGCAGAGATGTGCATTTGTAACTAAATGTTTTTTAAGATCTGTAGTTCTAAAAATGTTGAAACTTTTTTTTTTCTCACTAGCACACTAAAAGGAAAATATAAGAGAAAGGTATCAGAAAGGGCTTTACTATTTGTATAACATCAGTTCAGTAAGAAATAAATTAATACAGTGGAATAAATCAGTGATTTAAATCTAAGGCTCTCGTTTTTTCCTTGGTATTCCTTACTGCAGCCTCCATGTGGCAAAGACATTGAAATGTCATAGGATTATGCAGTATTTTCAAATAAAACTAACTTTTACACAATGCAAAATGCCAGTTTGATTTTTGGGAGATGATCTCTTGGTGAAATCCTTGTCCTGTTGCGTGGATTGCCGGTGACTGCATCAAAACCAGTTCTGGTCCGAGTTCAGACTCTTGTCCCTGAGAACTGGGCTGCACCAGTAATGCTACTGCAAAGCCACAACCTTGCTCTGACTCTATATAGAGGTCAATATCCCCATGTTCACATGTTAGGTCTTGGTTAATTAAAAGATCAGTCTGTTAGAAGCAATATGTGAGAAGTGTGTGGTACAGGCTCTCTGTGTAGCGGAGAGAGATTGAACATCCAGCTCTGCCTCTTTTTCACCTGCTCACTGCACGAGGAGTTTGTCGTGGTGGGGGATATGGAATGAATGCAGTTGTGGTTTTCCCCATTGTAGCATTCCTTTTACTAACTAAACTAACTTCAAGTCCTACCACTGCATAATCACTTCTACTCTTTTTGTAGCACTTCTGGAGAAAAAGGTGGATGATAAGCTGAGACAATACTCTTTGGAAGGGGAGACCTGCCTTCCAGGCGTTCTTGGAGCTCACGTCATCTCTCTTCTCCAGCAACATGAGGGCCTGTGGTCTCACAGTTTGAGGATAAAGTATGGGATCCTAGGTACACTGAAAAAGACATGTGTGCTTTCCTTTGGATTTGTAGGATAAATCAGCAATAGCTGTAAAAGTAGACAAATCTCACTCGAATGTTTTTGAAAAATGGAAGGCTTGAAGCCAGTACCAGACTTATAGTTTTGAAAGTTTACTTCTGAATTATTTGAATTGGTAATTTTGTGGTTTAACTTGAACAGGAGAGGCAAAAAATCCTCGTCATGAATGCAGCATGAGGCAAAATATTAAAGTGGAGACAGGTGCACATGGAGTGTACAAAGTGGATATTGGGCACGAATTTCACTGTGTGCAGACTCCAACCTACAATCACAAGGTAAATACTGGCCCAAGCACTTGTGTGCTGAGTGTCCTTGTGTCACTTATGTACTGAGGGGCTCAGCACATGTAAGAGAAAGCAAAATTCACAGGAAAAAATGCAGTTTTCTGTTCTTTAGGTTCACCTGAAGCATGAAGCGAGTGCATCTTGGCTTTCCTCCCAAATGGAAGTGAATTATGGGAAACACTGGGATGAAAAAAACAACAAGAAGAAACTGCTGATCGGCCAAGCATTTAAGAACAGTTCCAGTCCATCTGTAGTCAGCTATTTCATGGAGGTAATCATGATTGTTGAAGAGTAAGACCTTCACTTCAAATATCCAACAGACAAAATAAGAAAAACAAATTTAAATTAATTTATTTATTAAGACCTTTTTTTGTAAATATGGTATGTATTAATAATACAAGTCAAGTACCCAGAGCAGAGGCAGAAGCTGTGACCTTCCTGCTACTCTGTGTGTATGTGTGTTAAATTAGACAGTTCTGAAGGTGGGATCCTGTTTTTATTTAAATTTGCTTCACTTGTTTTCCAGTTTGCCCTGCAAGTCCTGGAAAAGCAGGTGAATTACAGAACCCAGCTGCAGCACTTGCACACCTCTAAGGTGTATTTGCAGAGCAGCACCAACTTTGAGGTGCAGTACAATGACCACATGCCATTTGTGGCTGGGCTGCAGTGGAAGGACGCATCCAGAAATGGTCTGAAGAAGTGGGAAGGTGAAGTACTACCAACCATTTCCAGCCTAGGATTAGAAAAGCAGGCATTGGAAGGTGCTGCTGGGCTTTTCTGAGGTAGTTTTGCATGGGTGTAACAGAATGAGAGAGATGCTGGTTGGAAGGGAGAAACCATGAGGTTATCCAGCCCAGCCTCCTGCTCAAGTCAGGACTGGTTTTGTGGCTTTGTCTAGCTGAAGTTTTTGAAATCTCCAACTTCCCACAGCCTAGCTGGCTGGCCTCTTCCAGCAATTCCATTTATTAGCAAACCTGCCTATGTGTTACAGTGTGCCATATGTTACAGTAGTGAAGGACATTAATTTCATTATATACCATCCAGAGATTTTAGTAACTGGAAGAGAATAGGTTGGTAGTAGCATTTTAGCTTCATTCCAAAACCCCAGCATCTTATCAGCCTGGTTGCTGAGTTGGAGTCCAGGTAGCTTGAAATGTCATGTTTCTGTCAGCTCTAATATATGTTCTTTCCAGGTGGGTTAAATCTAGACACCCCATGGCTGTATCTGTATGCAGCTCACAAACTACATCAGCCTCAGAATTCTGCTTATTTAGTGACAACAGAGCTGACAACTGGAAAAGCTCTCTCCATTAAGAATCTCGTAGTGGAACTGTTCTATAAAGATCAAGGCAATGAAAAGGAAGGGAAAGTTCACATTTACACACCAGCTACCACATACCTGCAGGTTGGTAACACGGTGCTTCATCTAGTGCGTGGCTTTGATGAGAGGGCTCTGTGACAGCTCTGGCACTGTCAGCTCACTGCAGGAGCACTTGCTCAGGGTGCTCTGTGAGCTGCTTTTTTGAGAAACTGGTGCACTGTGTCCCAGCTTATCAAAGGGGATCTCAAGATGCCTGTGTTCTTCTGTTCTCTATGCTTGAATGATAAGCTGTTCTTCTCCAGGGCAGTCAAATCAGCACAGCCGGGGCTCTGTATCAGCTTTGAACAAATGTTAGGACCATCAGCTCTGCCCCTCTTTGGAATGGGTATCCATTGCTCCCTGGGCAAAGCCCAAAACACGATGGCAGAATTCTGCCTAGGAGTGTACACATAGTCATTACTGTTTTGAAGTTCTTACCTCCATCCCTTCCACGAGCTAACAGTTTCAGGAAGCTGGAAAATTGGATCATCATTGAAAGAAATGTTTAAAATTAGTCCTTACTGATACGAAACAGCTGAGAGTGTCTTTCCTTTAAAAAGTAGGAACGATAGCCAAACTGCTAAATTAAGAGCCCAGTGATTACCTAAATTCACTAATTTTGAGGCACTGGATTTAAAGGCCTGAGAAGAATGGAACTCTCCTCTTCCTGGAGAGCTTTTTCTCTCTCCTTTGCTTAGAGAGGGTAAAATAAACTTGGAGATCTTTGTGACAGTTCAGAATATTTTCATAATGGAAAAGCTGACACACATTTCTAATAGTTCTTGCAAAGATCACTCTTTCACCTCTATGCTGCTGGCACAATGGAATGCTGTCTGTCCTAGCTAAGCCAGACTAATGTCTTTGTTTTTCAGGCATCCACATTTAATCGTCTCGGGAGGAATGTTCTGCATAGCTATGGTGAAATGATCTCTCTGTGGAATCAGCTTGTGAAGAATGAGATTCATTTGGAGAATAATGAACGAGCCAAACTTCTCTGCTTTAAGATAACAAGTACAAAACAGGAATTTAACTTAACAGCCAGCTATCAGAATCTGCCAACGGTAAGAAAGAAAAACAAATGCAATTTTTTTTTGACTCAGCACTGTGTTTTTTTAGTTCTCCCACCTTCCTGAGAGATGTTATTGTTAGTGTTGAAATTTAAACACTTCTAGTGCTGCATCTATTTCTGTCTGTTTTGAAAGGCTGCGGTGTAAAACTAGGTTCAAAAAGAAAACAAACAAAAGCTTGTGTAGTGTAATTTGGAGTACTTCTCACCTATTTGGGAGGCCAACTGCAGACAGAAAGTCAGAGAGGAGGGACAAAGAGGGACTACATGACTAGAAAAAGAGCTGTAGATGTGATTACTTACCATTTGATGCAGAGGTATGACAGGTGTGGAAGATTCTACTGTCTTGGAGAATCGGAATCTCTTGCCTGCTAAGTGAGCAGGGTAAGCCTGGGTTTATGTGCTATTTTAGGCTCTACATCCCTTCCAATCTTAAAATAATTTTTGCTTTGCTTGATGTCTGTGGCACAGGAAAGGTAACCAGCAGTTTCTCCTTGAAAGGGATACTTCGATGAGTTACTTTGGTCCATTTGTTCCTTGCAGGAAGTCTTAAATCCACAAGTGTTTTTCTAGACATACCATTGAAAATCCAATTAGTTTTTGTTTGACAGAGTACCAGAGCTCGCTCATATTGCAAATAGGTGACACTTAGTAATACATTATGGGGCATTTTTCTTCTGCTGAAGTCAGTTTTCTACTAATGTCACTTTTAATCCAATGTAAATGGAGGTCTGGATTTAACTGCAGCACAAAGGGGCTGATCTGTGAAATGACCGCCTTGCTGCAGCCTGTTGGGCAGTATGGTTTCTATATTGATGTTCCTGAATATGAATGCAGTAAATCTGATGCAATTGTCCTTTATTCTTCTGGTCTTGTGATTTGAGCGCAGCCAAAGAAGACAAACCTTTCTGTGAAGATTGTATGGAGAGATTATAAAAGTCTGCCTGTCATACTGCAGTTGGAAGGTCAGATAGAGGAGCTGAAGAAGGAGAAGATGCTCTATCAGAAACGTGGAACCCTCCATTTCAGGTTCAGTTGTCTTATTATTTCTATCTGTGAAGAATGTTTTGGCCTAAGTTTAACGTGCATTTTGATGCTCTTGGGGAATGTTCTGGGCTTTACAAGGTGAAAGTGCCACATGCACAAAGCCTGTGCTTTGTCACATCTGGGTCTCTGGACTTGCTCAAGCACAGCAGCTTCATGGGATGGTAATTTGCACCATTAGCTTTTGCCCTCTTTATTGAAATGACAGTGAACAAAGCTGTCAGAGGCAACAGGCCATGTGTGCTGGGACATGTTTGTTGGCAACTGCATCAGGTTTATAGCCTCCTTCCAGGAAAACAGCAGGATTTATGGTGTGTCCAAACTTGGAAGTCATGAGAAGTTCCAAAATCCAGATCTGATCCCCCGTGCCATCCAGATGCCTTTTTCCTAGTCCTTGGGAATAATAAAGCCATTCTAAAGCCAAAGATATCCTCTTAAAACACATGACAAATGGTCTTGTTTGGATTTTGGAATGTTTCCATTTTCTGATGAGAATGAGTGCACTGCTTCCAGATATTGGCTGTCCCTGAAATTTCTCTCTTCATTACCCATTATCAAAACACAGCTTGAAGGCCTTGGGAAAAATGTATGCTCAGATTTGAGGCATCTGGATCACCTCCAGGGACACCTCAGCTTTCTTAAAGCACAGCAGGACCAACAGGAGTGCACAGGCTGCCTTAGGAGCCCCTGTGCAGCTTGGAGGTAGCTAAAAAACTGTGAGGCATCCTTTAAGTAAAAAACTACATAAATGAAGAATGAAGAGCTGTACCAGATATCCTGGCATGTATAAAGGCAGTCCAACATCTACTTATAAAAGTTTGTGCATGTTTCCAAGATATCTGACTAAGTAAATGTGCAGAAATATTTACTGAAGTCCATAAACATTACACTGAAGTAGTAAACTACTCCAAGAGCTATGTAGTGGCTGAACATCTGTTGCACAGGATTCTTGGCATGCAGATACTGTTTCTACAGAAAGCATAAAATGTGGATAGTGAGATTTTCAAACTTGCCATAGGCTTTTGGACACTGTCCCTGTTTGAAATGAAGTCTTGGCCCTGCAGGTATATGAAGTGTATGTGCTGGTTGTGCATGTCAGAATTTTAGAGCATCACCCTTTCCAAGCCTTTTCCAAATCCAGGGTGGAAACTCTTTAAACACACCAGAATTTCTGATAGTTTGTGTGAGGTTGTAATTATGCTCTTTAATTTCTTAAAGGTCCTGGGTTTATATGTTTTGCTTCTGTACCTGACACCCTGCTGTATCTGCAACTGAAAATTCTGGAGTTCAAGTTGAATTGATTTCTTTTTGTAGTTGTCTATTAAGATCTTTTTTATACTTTGTTTATTCCTTGTTTGTTTTTTTTCCAGGCATCCTTTTAAAGTGCCCTTTCTGCAGAGCTTCCTCCTGCAGGAGACATTTACAGTTGACAAAAAGCAAAAGCACTATTTCATGGAGACAAAGGTTTTGATAAATAGGGTTGAGGAAACAGTTCAAACTCTTATACTTGGTTACCAACCTGAAAATCCCTATGTGAGTTTTCCAAGAATTTCCTTTAATTTGACATACCAAAAAATTCAGCAAATTAGTGATTTACTGCAGGTATCTTATGTTCCTGCATTTCCTCTCAAACTTTTTTTTAGATTTGTGCTGGCCTAACTCATCCTTATAACCACAAGTTGTTCCCCAAAGACGTTGAAATATGCATTTTAACTCTAAGTCATCAAAATGTGAGTAAATTTCCCATTAAATTCAGTAGAAGGAGAGATTCATTATCAGTTTATTTACACTTTATTGTCTTCTCAGGCCTAACTTGCTATAGGTCTTTAATTCCTCACTGTGTAACTGCTGCATCCAAAATGTTCAGAGGGTGATGATGTGCTTGGAACCTCCTTAATTTTGTATAATAAAATGTTGCATAGTAATATATGATAAGAATACTTAATATATTATTTTTAGAATATTGTTATACATGGATGTTGTTAATAATAACAAGTGCTGGGATAGAATGGATTCAGGGTTCTCACCCTTATCTAGCTGTATCTATTCATCTTTCTCACCAAATACAGGGTTTTTTTTCCTGCTTTTCTCATTTCATTCTGAGCCACAATGTAATACCTCACAACTCTGATTTTTCATGATGTGGAGGGATGACTCTCTCATCTTTCATAATATACAGGGTTAATAGTCAATGCAGTTCCCTTATTCCTATTCTTAACATGTAGGTGAAGAATGAATTTGAGACTATCTTGAAGGTGAATAAGGAAGATGTCCTCAGCTTTCTAGGGAGGTATCAGAACAAATCCAGTGAGGCTGATTTTAGACATGTTTTGCACATGGATATGACACAGTCATTCCAGGTATTTGTGGGTTTCACTTTTGGCATTTTATTTTTTATGTCTTGGTGACTGTTTTACTGTATTGTCTTTAATATCATAATTGTTTGATGCTGGTAAATGTCCTTAGTCCAATCAAGTCCTGGCCCTGCCAAAGACCCTAAGTATCTCAGCAGATTAAATTATAATCTGTATCAATAATATCTCGTAAGAAACACAGAGACCTTTTGCTTTCATACTTTTTAAACTGCATTTGATTTGTTTTTCAGTACCTTTGGATAAAATTGGTAAAATTTTATACACACATTTGCTTATGTGCATGTTCCACCTAACGCTGGAAGTTCAGACACTAATTCACGTGAAGCAGTTGTTGGGAATGCAGTGTTCTGTTCTGACGTTTTACTCTATCAAATAGCTTGAGTTTCCACAGGCAATGGGCCTCAGTGGGGAGCTGTTTTCCAGGCAGAACAAACTGGAACACTTTGACTGTGGTGTGAGTGTAAAAGCCATCATCAACAAGAACGTGTCTTCACAGGTCAGTGCCCTGGTTTTACAGCCTTGTTGCTTGGACCTTGTAGCTTTTGCAGTCCATACACTCAGAGCTGTGCTGAGTCTCTGCTCACATGCATTAGGAATACATGGAATACAGCCTGGGAGCTGTTAAACTTCTTGCTATGAACTGCTTTGCAGCTGCTTTTCAAGCATGGGAACAAACCTATGTGTATACTACATAGTTGGTCAACTCATGGAACTCAGTGAGTACAGTGGAGAAGTATGAATTATGAGGGAAATGGTTAACTTTTGTGGTTAGAGGTTTTTCTGGCTAGATGGCTACCTGTGGTTGGAATGGGTGGCTTGTGTTTTGGCTGAAATTCAGAAAACTCTCAAAGTTAAATTAAATTGTACTTAAAATTCAATGTAGTTCACAATTTTTTTGTTGACAGCTCTAGCATGGTGACAGGGTTGAGATAAGGACAGGGAGATCATGTACCAATTACCTTCACAGACAAAATGAACTCAACTTGGGCAATATTAATTTAGTTTATTGACAAATAAAATTAGAGTTAGATGGTGAGACACAGAGATGAAAACTAAAAACTCCTTTTCCCCTCTGCTCCCTTCCCTGTTTTTGCCCAGTCCCAACTTGCTGTCTGCAGTCTCATTGCTCAAACTGATGTTTCAGTATTCTGTGCTGTAATCTGAGATCCTTAATGTCCTGCTCTTCTTTTTCTCTGTGTGCAGGCCCAGGCAGCCCTGAGGAGTTATGGTGAGAGCAACTTCAATGGCTCTCTTCACCTTCACTCCAGCGGAAGGGACATGCTGATGCTGGAGCTCGATGTGAACAACGAAAACAGGAAGAATGGCAGAGCTGTTGCACTGAGGGCTTTTCTCCATCAGACAATCCTGACAAATCCAGAATCGATACAGCTGCAGCTCATTGGCAAAATGTTTCCATCAAGGTAGAGGAATGAGAATCTTGGTCAACTGAGGAACTGAAAAGTGTTTACTCTGGAACAAGTGCTCACGAAGTCTGTGGAGTCTCCATACTTGGAGATAACCCCAAACCTGGCCATACACACTCCTGAGCACCCTGCTCTCATTGACCCTGCTTTGAGTGAGAGGAGGAGTGCCTTGACCATCATGAATTAAGCACAATAATATCTTACTAGCAATTTTTATCTCTGTCTTTTTAGACTTCTGATATCTTCTGAGTTGAAACTTAATGAAAATAGGCTTCACGTGGATTTCATGGGAGCCAGGGAACAGAAAGCTGGTTTGGTTTTGTCCCTAAATGGAAGAGTCCAACATACATTTGCTGGATTAAAGGCCATACCTCACCTTCTTTCTCTGAATGGATTACTGAAGTGCAAGAACAACATTCATGATGGTACTCTCTTACTTTGTGTTTTGTTGCTGTTCTGCAGCTATCTAAGGAAGCTTCTTAATTTTAATGTATTCCTTACTGAACTGCATAAGGTATCCAGCTCTTGGGCAAAATAGTGGGTGGCTTCTTTCCTCTGCAGGTCTTCTGAAATGGGGGGGCCTGACTTGAGGCTCTTACTCCTCTGAATGGCTCCATGGGTGGAGTAGGTCACTGCAGAGCTCTAGAGGGATTGTTTACCCTGGAGTTACACAAGCAGTGGGTCACAGTCCCTCTGTAAATTTGCCTTCAGAAGGCAGTGCAGTGTAGCCCACGGCCTAAAGGCACAAGCAACTAGGTCAATAAAGTGAAACAGCTGCCAGAAATAGTATTATGTGATTTGTTTTAAACACAGACACTTCTACTGGTAGAGAAACTCTCAACAATAAAATGATTCACTCTCTAGATTAGGTGAAATTATTTGTTACAATAAATGGATTTCCATCTCCTTCCTCCTGGTATTAAATTAATGGTTATTTTTTATGTTGCTTCTAGAACTGTGGTTATTTCTGTCCCAAAGGACTCTCTCCACAGTAATAATTTCTGCCTGTTACAGGTAATATCAATGTGATGGTCAACAAAACGCTGTATGGACTCCACCTCAGGAACAGGAATGTGTTTGGGAATGTCACTGTACACAACATCACTGTTGCCATGTTTCAGAATGGCAGTCTGGCAATCCCAGTGGAGGCAAGACTGAAAGGGCACCTGGAGCTGAGTAAAGAGATGAAGAGGGGGCTAGCCAGCTTCCAGGTGGATGAGAAGGCTCTTTCTGTGGATTTTTTCAATATCATGAGTCGTGGGCACAGCAGAGTCAGTGGGACTTTCACACATAATATCGACTTCTTAAAAAATGCAGGTAAACTCTGACTTGATTGTGTGGTATGACAAGGTGTCAAGGTGAATTTATTTACATGACTGCAGACCAGTGGAAATAGATGAGTTGCTTTTGCTCACACCAGAAAGAACAAAATGTGATCCAGGTTTGGCAATGTTCTTTTTAATGTTGTTGAGAAAATACAATAAAATGGACACAGAACTAGCTTATACAGTTTTAAAATACTTCAGAGTAAATTATTTCTCTCTTGTATATCTGTATTCCTGCAAGCTGGTTAGTTCCTTCAAATGTAGTTTTATGCCAAGTGTTGCTTCCTAAGCAAAGCCATGGGTTTTGTTGCCATAGAGTTTTTGATTTTTTAATTTTTATAGGCTTTAGAAGTAGTTATGTAGTGAATGTAAATTTTAAAGTAGCTGTGTTATCCCTCACCCTTTAGCACAGTAGTTTATACGTTTTCCCAACACTGTTCCCCTTCCCATATCGATTCCGTTAATTCCATTAGCTTGTTTAGACTTCCCTCAAGGTAGGCCTTCATCCTGTTGAAGAACATCTACCCCCTGGCCTGGACAACAAGATACCACACAGGCACAGCAACTTGTCTTATACCCTAATTTGGCCCAGAGTCTCTTTTTCATCGATCTCTTAAGGCAACAGTTTTCATGAGCTGGAGTTATCAGTAATTTTGAATGTGTAAATTGCCTTTGTCCCTTTGGACTGAATAAATCCATTCTGAAACTTTTTAACAGCTGACCACTGGAGTTAGACACAATAACCATTGATAAATATCTCTTATTAAGAAAAGAAAAATCCTTGATTTCCAAAGTGCATGCCACATTTTAATTTAGCAACCCCTTCTCAATGATTCTCACATGGTAGGTAATGTCTTTCTGTAAATACCAGTAAATGCATAAAGGTGTGTCTTATGAAAAATTATAGAAAGCTTCTTTTGATCTATAATACATCTTCTCTGTATTTTATGACAACCCAGAAGTGTTGTGTTGATTTTGCTTCCTTCCCTGTCAATAGGATTGCCATGGGATGGCATTCTTACTGCCAGGTGTGAGCGTGGCACAGGAAATCACACTGTTGCTGTAGCCCTGCAGAGTGGCAGGGAAGGGATTACTGTTGAGTTTGGAGGGCACAGACTGGCCACAGAACCTCCTAAATCCCAGCTCTCTGTGAGCTTAAAGCACAACATCTCAAAGATAAAAGAACAAGGGATCCCTTTTATTGTGGAGGCTGCTGGCTATTATGAGGTAAGAGTTCTGCCTGTGATTATTTTTTTGGCAGAACAATTTCTAATAACTGTAGGCTTTGCCTTGGCACTATATATATTTATTTTAAAAGCTGCTGCATTTTTGAGAGGTACTGAATTACTGTGTGAAAGAAAGGTGTTTTCTGGCTTCTTGTCATACTGTGTACTTGCCATCTGAAATCTTGGAGCTCAATCTAGAATAAATGAGATGCTGCATTCGATTTTCATTTAAGTGAAGTGCTTTGCTACATATGAACAGATGTCCTGGTACAGGATTGCTTGGCCACTGTTCTCTCTATCTGCATTTCTACTATAGACTAAGAGACTCTGCCTTTGCCAGTTGTTGCTGGGATGTTGTTGTTTGTTTCTTTCCATAATTTGGTTTCTTTTGTGCATAGAATTTCACCACAAAGATTGCTGCAGGGATAACAACCACAGTGGAGAAGGAACAGCTCAAAATTGAAATAGAGAAGGAAATCACTGGCAGTGCTGTGGAAATTTCTCTCTCACTTCACCATGATGTGGGAGGACTGATGGACATTGTTCCACGTGTACTAGAGGTTTGCAGAAATCCTGCCATATATTATAGTGTATTTGATGTAGTGTGCTTCACATCTCAGCTGTTCAGTTGTACCCAGGAGAGCAAGCTGGCAGGTCAGAGGGAAGAGAGATTTTTGTCAAACAAGGCCAGTAGCCAGTACAGAAAACCTAAAAACTGTTTGCTTAGCAATAAAGAGCAGGTTTTTCAAGAAGTGGTGGGTAAGAAAACATTTATGTCATGAAACTGGAGTAGGTGTTTGCCCAGGCACAGTAATTTGCAATCTCAGCTTTTCCATCCTACTGCTTACTTTCTATCCTAATATTTGAAGATATTGTTCTGTCTTTACCTACGCTGATAACATTTGAGCATAATAATGCACAATTAGAGACATGATATAGCCTCAGATCTACTAAACTGTTTTTCTTTTCGAAACTGAACTCTAACATTTAATCTTAAAGCTATGTTTTGGTATCTTCATCTGTTTTATCCTTTAGCCTTGTAGCTCCCTCCTTTGAATTTTAGTCCTTTCTCCTTTTCTTCATGCTCTGAACGTGCTTTGTTTGTAATGCCAACAGGTTGCTTGCAGTGGAGAATCTGCTAACAAACAACTTTCTGGCCTTTGCAATGGTGCAATTGCATTTCATCATTTTGAGGTACTGGCTTAATTTATAAACTCTGCTGTCAACAACATACTGTCTTAACTACCACTAAGGGACTCTAAGTACTCAAAGGGTCACACATGTAGAAATGGGTTTGAGCTGACTGGAAGTTTTGCATGCACTCTCAGATATTTTCACTCCTGTAATAGTTAGATTCAAACAAGCTACTTCTCCTTCAAAAACTGTTTTAGCTCAAGTCTCCAACCTGTACCTTCTGCCAGTCAGAACTGAACTGGGTATCAATGGCCCTGTCCTGTTACTGAGCAGCCAACCTGACAGAGGAACTGGGCAAGGGAGCATGGGGGGCACAAGCTGAGAATTTCAGTTTATTCCTTACTCTATTTTCTGCTCTTTTTAACTAACCATTTGTTTGTGAAAGCCCCTGTGGCTCTTCAACTGTTTGACAAAGATACACCTTATGTATTCTTAAGAATGTGTTAAAAATGTCTTCTGTGAGTGACATCACAGAGTGCATTTGTCTCCATAAAGACAATAATCACAGAGACTCTGATTCCTGTGTGTGTGATTTATCTGGTATTAGTAATTGTTTTAGCAGAGTTACGGATTTGGGTTTTTTTCCCTATTATTTCTATTATGGAACTTTAAAGATTTTAAGCCATCTCTCTATTTGTTTAGGCATTTATAAACATGTAGGATGAACACAAAATGGTGTAGGGAAATAATTCTCTTCTCTAGTAACATGAACATTTAAAACCAGTATGTGGCCTGACAGGAAAGCAAACTTGACAACAGTTTTCTGTAATTTTTCAGACTCCAGCAAGAGTTTCACTGAATGGGTCATTGTTTACCAGCAACTTTACTGTCATCTTCTTTGGACATGTTTCCTTTCATGACATGTTTGCCTGCCTGCAGCTCCACGCCACTGCCAACATCCAGCCTCATTTGGAAATCCATTTCCAGCATTCTTTGCCTTCACTTCGTTCTCTGGGGATTGCCAGAGAGAACCAAGTGAAGGTGTCAGCCCTGAGAAGTGACAAGTATAAGGGCATCCTTGGTGTTGTCCTTGGGCCTTGCAGTCTGAAAGCTGATGGAGAAGTGAACCTGGCAAACAATGAAACACAGTGGGTACTTACTGTCAGGAACAAGTGTGTCAGTCTGGAGGTAAGTCCAGATTGTTTTCTGCATGGTCTGTAGTCTGCGATTTCAGATCACGAGTCACAGAGAACTGTCTCCTGACATTGTTATTTATGGACAGGACAATTTTGGTCATTAAAGTTGTTTTGGCAGAGAAATGAGTCGGAGCATTCATGAGGGAAAGTGTATTTGAAGATGTGAATTTGGAGTAATACAATGGTAGATGTTACAGCTGTTGCCATAAAATAGTTGTTTAATAATAGCTTTTTAATCAAAATAAACATGTCCTAGAGTCTAGTGAAAAGCATGTCCTTTCTGTTTGAAACTGTGGAGGTATTTCAGGAGTTAAGTTTCTTTTTCTTCTACATTACTTATGAGAAGATTGTTGTAGGATTTATTCTTTCCCCCCAATTTATTTTGCTTCTGTTGTTTCACTGACAAACTTCTGATTTCTCTGTGAAACAAGCTGTCTTGTATGGTACTTTCCAAAAGCAGATTGTTTCAGAAAGAAGAAATGCTTTCTCATGAATCAGGAACAAATTAGGAAGACAATTGCTTTACCTTGTGTTTTTTAAATAGTACACTCTTTTCTGTTGCAGGAGGTGGGATTGCCTCGTGCAGTGGTCTTTGGGGGCTCATTTCAACAGAACATCTGCAACGTGGGCTTGTTAATGAACCTCCAGTGTGATGGCAGAACAGTTGATGTGCAGATAGACACTTCCTGCCAACACGAATACACACTCCAAGGGATGCTCAGGCACTCACTTCCCTGGCTCAGTCAGCTTGGGCTCCCTTTGGAAAACTCTGTCTTGTTCTCTGCAGCCACAGACTCTGCCACAGAGGGCATTTTGTTGCTGCAGGCTGGCAGATGCAGACTTAAGGCTAGAGGAGATCTCTGTATTCAGGATAAAGCTGAATGGACACTGGAAACAGAATCAGAATGTCAACTTCTGCAGGTAGGTCTTGGAGGCTTTTACAGAGAATTTGGGTATCAAATGCAGGCCATATAAGGTTTTAGCTAAAATAACAGTGTTTGAGTGTTGGAAAGGCACTCTAAAAGAACACCTGTCTTACAGCATGAGGCCAAGAACGAGTCTCACAGATCCTGTTCACAGATGTTCTCTCTAGACTGAGATCAGTTCAGTCTTTGCTGTTTGTTGCCTTCACAGACCGAGACTGCCCTCTAAGGCTCAACAGCAGCATTGGTTTGAACTCTGTCAAAAATATATTCCCTGGTCTGTCTGTTTATATCAAAGTAAAAATTGTGACATTTCCTTGGTTTTTCCATGTAGTCTCACTGACTTCATTGGAAAGAATGACTCTTGCAAAATCGGGGGGGTTTTCTAGATGTTCACAGGCATTTATGTTTTGCTTTCAAATCCTCACATTGAGTAACTTCCTCAACCACAAAATAGCAACATAACAACAAAAGTGACAGGAGCCTGAGTATCATCCATAGTGAAGAGGGAATGAAAACCTCTTAAAGTATTAAAAATAGTAGAATTTTCTGTGGTTTTGCAAATCCTTTGCAAGAATGAGCAGAAACATTTCATTGGGGATGCTGCACAAGACAAGTTTGAAGTTTTAGTATTAAAAAAGAAAAATTCTTGTACCGCCAGATGCAAGAATGTCTTTTAGGCCTATTATTTTTTGTGGGTTAATTTGAAAATTGAGTTTTGCCTGGTCTGAATGAAGCAGTGAATGTTCAGTAAACTTTTCCAGTCTGAAGAAACAGACATTTTGTATTTTTGCAAATGGAAAACTTCATAAAGGTACAGAAGTTGTAAATTCTGCAGGGCAGCCCTAAAATCTTCCCTCAGGCCTTATTCAGGCAAAATCCCCATCTTTCTTGTTGAGAGGGAGAAAAATGGCAGCATGGAGATTGTAGGTTTTGTCTCTGATACTGTAACATAAAATCTCCATTTTTGTATGCTGAGGGAGAAGAAAAAAGCCTTAATACACACCTATATTAAAGTGTATGTATATTCCAAAGGAATTCTCGTTTTTAAATCTCAATAGGATCTCAGTTTCCCAACTCAGTCACGGCTCACAGGATCCATTCAGAAAGACAAGTGCCAAGCAGAGCTTCTCTCAGTCCTGGAAACAGAAGGCAAAACTGCCCATCTTGAAGTGAGAGCAGAGTGCAAGCCAAAGATTACACTGGAAATTCAGTTCAGGCATGACCTCCCCCAGCTGAAGGAAATCCCAAGGGAAAATGAGCTGTCCATCACTGCACGGAAACAGCTGAAATATTTTCTTGGAATAGGAATGAAAGTGGGTGCTTGTGAGCTTCAAATGAATGGGGACTTTGACCCTGAAAAGAAGCTTCAGTGGAAAATGCTTATAGAAAATAAATGCCAAACAATTCAGGTATTGAAAAGAATTTATTATTGCTTTACTACTGCATTTGTGCATCTAAAGCAGGATCTTTGTACCTACCAAAGTTAAAAGACAATAGTCTAAGGATTTCAGTGGTAGCAGAGAAAAGTAAAACATTATCTTCTTTTAGTGTTACATCTTACCTTTAGAGCCAGTTATTCACTCTATTTTCATATGGTGCAAGCCAGATTTCCTATTAATCAGTACCTACAGTTAATGGACTTGCTTGTACTAACTCTGATGTGTTTTTTTTAAGCATGGTTTCAAAGCAGGGCTTTAATCTTCAGAAATAAAAAGTATTCAGAGTTCTCTTGGGCTTTATCAGCAGTAACAGTTTCTCAGCAGTTTGACAACCAAACTCTGAAATAGTTTGAAAATATAAGAAGTAAATAGATAATCTTCAGATCAGAAAATTGAGTGTACAGAAAGTTTGAGAGAGATGTTATCACAGAATAATCTGTAGTTTCACTATACAAGCCAGAGTAAATCTGAATATACATAATGAGATTCACCTGCCCTCTTCCAAAAACAGAGCTGCCATAATAAACCTTTGTATACTCTTTGGTTTCACTGGAATTATGGATGCTTTGGGCCACTGGAGCAATTCTAAGCATAGAAAACTGAGTTTTCAGTTAGGCAGGAAGAGCTGCCATGTTGTCCTGTGTCCTATTTTTTCTGGCTCATTTATCAAAAATCATCAGACATATTAAAATTAAAAAAGACAAACTGTAAAAAATATAACAAAAAGCTGTCAAGATTCCTGAGGCATCCTATGGCTATGCTGCCTGATATACCTCATTTTACAGCTAGGTACTATTAAAGCTACTATTAGGAACTAGAAGTTTCAGGGGTTAGGTGTTTATGTGGGTGAGTGTAAAAGTGGTGAATTTTAAAATTTAGTTTTTTCTTTTACAGGACCTTGGAGCACCAGTGAAAATTGATGGGTCAGGCTACATTTTGACGGATAAAATGAACCTGGATTCACAGACATTGATCACTGTTGATGAAAGTAAATTCCAAGGACTCCTGATACTCAAAGTCACTGATGTAAGCATCCCGCAGGCTGTGAGACTGCATGTACAAATTACTGAGTAATGTACTCTAGACTATTTTATTGGGAACAAATAGTCGGCTTTTAGTAAAAAGTGCCAGAATAAAAATAAAATAAAAAATAAAATCTTTGGAAATCTGGCACCTGTAATGTGCAGTAACAAATATACTGGATAATAGGATACAGGCTCTGGCACTTCCTGAATCACTTCCTAGTTATTCTCTTTGTAAATTTTGTTGTTTGCATTGTATTATTTGATGTTCCTTGTGTCACTGTGACTTACACTGCAAAATAATAGGCAGGGATTAATTGAGACACTGCTGTTTATTTAAGTAAGACAGTAGCACAGGATAGGCTGTGAATCTCTTGCTTTCCTGTTGACAGTTCAACTGTTGACAGTTTGGCTTTTCTTGTCATCAGTGCAGGAGAGCAGAGAACACACACAAGTGTCTTATTCTTTGTGATCATTCACTTTCTTGTCATAACTGGTAATTTCTGCATGTTTCTGCCACAGAGAAACAAGATAGCTAGTGGGAGTTCTTTGCCCCCACAGAGAAACATTTACACCTTTTCTCCTCTCAGCTGAAATATATATATATTTTTTATCCTACCTAGGCTTGATGTTTCTTTTCTCTTTCCCTAAGCGTAATTTCCCTAAGTTCAATGCAATTTATTTTAATTAATATTAAATGTAGGACAGAGAGATTTGCTAAATTTCTTGTTTGAGCTCTGTGTTGCAGCAAGCTTTGGGTTCTACACATGCTTTGCTATCTATGCTGTGAAATATTAACAGGAAAGGCAAGAGCTGGATGCAGTGCTAACCCACAACATTCCAGGAGCTGCTGACATTGGCATTCCTATGAAGATGTTAATTGATGTGATATCAGAAAAAAACAGTGACTTCTATAAAAGATTTATTCATTTCTGTGTGAACAACAAGCAAGTAAGTGTCTCTTCCATGTTAGTGAGATGTGAAATAGAGGTCGAAGTGAGCTAATTGATTTGGTAAATATTGTTTCTCCATCTGAGATAGCTGTGCATGAGGCCCCTTTAGGAATACCCTGCAGGGGCTGGTTTGATTTTAAAGGCCTTAATTAAATAAAGGCAGTATCTTCCAGCCATTCTTTCTGTGCAGTCACTCCTACAAACAAATATGACAGCAGCAATGATCCATGATTCCCACTGGCAAATTGTATCAAACCTTTCTTATCCATTATCTTCACTTGGTGCAGCTCAGTCCCTTTTACAGTACAATTCTTCACCGTAAAGTTTTCCTCATTTTCATAGTTTTACTCTAATGTGTACAATGATTATAATTAATCAGAGAAGTCTCAATATCAGAGATGTGCCACAGTTAACTTTTGTCATATTTACTTGGACTGAACAGATTACAGAAGAACTGAACTTTGTCCAGAGGTTGGATGTTGTGTCTCTTAACTACAAACTCACTCATAACTTAGAGGTGCTGAAGACTTTGCAAATAAAAGACAGGATTGAGCTGCAGGTAAGTTACCTGCCATAGCAGGGGAGACACAAATCCAGCCTGGAATGATGCTCTGATGGAAGCAGCAGCTGTAAAAGCGAGATGGCAAAGGACAGCGGGTGCAGATGGGATTTTACATGTTTGCTCTTTAGGTGAAGAGGGGAGTCTGGCTGCTCATTTTGTTTGTTCTTGAGGAGAGTCCAGAAGCTCAGCTTGCTCCTGAGGGGGTGGGATAATGCCTTGCTAGACCAGAACTTTCCATGAGACTGAGAGACTGGAGGTTGGCTCTCATGTGTGAGCAGCCCAAGCCCAGCTGGGCTGGCAGCCTACCTTGCCTGAGGAGGGCAGTGCAGTTCAGCTCCTGTGCCTCCTCTGTCCCTTCTACAGACTGGGCAGAGGTGGGTTCTGGTGGGATTGCACTGTTTACATTCCAAATGGTATTTTCTTCCCAGGCTCTGATTACCTGGCATGTTTCTTTATCTGAGAAACACAAGCCTGCAACACAACACTTACTCTTTATTAATCATGTAACTGCTTGAATAGCATTAAGGCATGGCCATACTGGAGAATACATGTTAAAATGCTGAATTTAAAAATAAAAGGGACATCTGTAACTATGTTGTGTTATAAAATTACACAAGATGAATTTTTTTACATGTTTTAGATGACCCTGCCTCAGCTAAAGAAAGAACCCTGACCAACAGGAGCTTTAACTTTTACTAAACTCTCTTTTCACAATTTACCTTTGTTGCACAAAGGCTATCTTGAACCTGGAAGTCACCAAGAGCTTTAGTATGAAAGTGCTTTATGGTACTCATCTAACAGTGCTTGAAGGACAAATCCAGGAGTTTGAAACAAGTACCAACATAACAGGGAATTTCCATCACACTTTGCCATGGCTGCTACAAGCCAGAGTCCCACCATCTTTACAGGTAGTTTTGGTTTGGCTTTTTTTTTTTTTACACAGTTATTATCCTTTATTATGATGTAGTAGCCCATGGTTTGAATGAAAACTACCATTTTGTGAGGTACAGGATGGAAGCTGAGATTTTCTGATATTTAAAAACTATGGACAGCTAAAACCTGACCTACTGGAAAAGCAGATTTCTTACTGATTGCTTTCTGAACCAGAGTATTTCATTCTGATCAGTGTCAGTACAGAGGGTATTGTTGATATTGTAACTCTACAGGAGACTAGCTTCATTACCTTGCACAGGTGACTGGAATATTGTTCCTATGCTCTTTAAAGGGAATTTTATACTTAAAGAAGAGCTTCTTTGGGTGTTACTTTCAGGGGAGTATTGGAGCACCTATTATCTAGTAAATATTGTCAGTAGGCATGGATCAAGTATCCTTTAAATAAAGGGAGTCATGTGTTTGTGGGATAAAAGAGATCCTAACGAGAATTTGAAATGGATCAATGAGGCTGACGTGACTTGAAATTCATTCAGTCGAATGGCCTTTGTACTGGAAAGTCATAGATGATTAATGAAAGGCTAAGATATGTTTTGTTAATGGATAGATTTTTAACATAAGTATAGACTAGAGAGAACTCCCTTTCACTTCCATTAGTCTCCTGTTTTAAAATTAAATAGTATTTAAATGTTGTTTGGAGAACTTATGTCTACGTGTCATTTTTTAGGTAGATGTGGTTTTTCAAGGGAGAAACACTACTCAAGAAAGATATGTACATATTGCAGCTGGAGAAACATCAATCACATACATAATAAACTCCTATTATGTTGGTCACCAACTGGATATCTTCTGCCAAAGTGTACACAGCAGTGAGGTACTCCAGGCAGCTGGTTATCCTAAGGCAATCAACTTGATTCTCAGCTTACAGGAATCAGGTAGGTACCTGCCATCCCTGGCAGGTTTTTTGTTCTATAATAGCTCTCTGAGGATGTTTCAACTGTTCCTTCAACAGGTGCAAACTGACTAAGACCTAAAAAGAGGTTTTCTCTTCTTTGTAAGTGAAATTGTCATTCTGAAACTGCATCTGTGATTAGTTACATTACATGTTTTTTTAGCTCCAGGGAAGATCTCATGTGGTACAACACCTGGTAAAACAGGTTATCCCTGAGATATTTACCTCCATAAAATAAGATCCAATATCACACAAAAAAACCTTGTTGTACAGTGCAAAAAAATGTGAATTCCACTGTAGTTTAAAGTAGTCTTTGAAATAGTTCTAAGTGGCTTTTGTTGTCTGAACTGTGGAGGGGAGACACACCCACCCTGATGAAGCCAGTCTCCTCTGAAAACTTGGCTTGGCATTAATCCTCTCTGCATATCACTCAATGTGGATTTACATTGTGGTCTGTGTGATTTTGTCTTGTCCATGAAGGGTTTGGGGGTTTCACATCTCTCATCTCACTTTTATCTTGCAGGAGTCTGTATTTGTCTTTTTCGAAAATGAAAAGCTTCTAGGAAAGTGGGGAAAGGGCCTTCAGGTCATGTTTTTTGAGCAGTGTTGGGTTGCTGTAGAGGAGTCACTAGAGGTCAGAACAGCTCAGTGCTCTTCTCTTAAAGTGGCTGCTACTTGCCACAGGCTGCAGTTGGCTGTGGGAACTAGTCAGCTCTCCTGCAAAAAAACATGACTGATGGGAACTGACCTGACACTTTACCTTATCCTGGGTACACAAGCTCTGTTATCTCAAGACTTTGTAAGGTCAAGGCTCAAGGACATCCAAAAAAAACTCTACACTCCTCCAATCACAGGCCAAAGCTCTTGTAATCCCGAATGATGACCCAAATGCTGGCTGGATTGATTTTATGCAGGCAGAACTGAAATTCCTCAAAAAAATGCCACTCAAGTTGGCACTGTCCTGTTCTTTCTATACAGAAAACAAAGCCAAGACTGTCTGTGAAATCCAATATGATGAGAAAGATATAACTGTGACTGTGGATGTTGGCACAGACTTTCAACTCTTCGGTGTATTTGTGTTCATGGCAGAGGTGAAGCATTCCATATCACTTCTCCATCATCTGGGACTTCCCTTCTTTCTTAAGGTAATCCACCATAGATCTTTTGCTGTGCTTTGATTAGAGCTGTCATTTGAGTTACACTTACATGAATCCAGAGCACCTCCAGGAGCCTCAGTGAAATTACTCCAGGTTTATACAAGTGCAGATGAGAAGTGACTTGCCCAGTTTATCTGAATCCTCCTTTAACTTAAGTACACATCTAGTGGTCTGTTTCCAAGGAAACTGGTCAGGTACCTGAAATTCCCAGTTTCAGGGTTCGTCATTTCAGGAAGGCATGCATTTACTGTCACCTCCTAGCTGATGAGCTAACCTCCACTTCAAATAGCAAGATACATAGTTAGGATACAAGATTAAAGGTTGTCTTTCCTGAACATAAATATTAGACCAATATTAAACCTTCATATTAAGTGCCAGTGTTTCAAGTGAATATTTAATGCCAACATTTTATTGAAAAGTATTAGATATATCCCCTGCTTCTTCCCCCTTAATATTTAGTGAAGTGTCTTTTATCTTCCAAATGTTTCACTGAAGAAAAAAAGAGCAGAGATAGCAATTCTTGAGGTGCCTTATTCATGTATGAGGTGTGACTGTAATCATGGGACTTCAGAAATTATTGTTCCCACAGACTTTGGCAAACGTATTGATATTTAAGTGTCCCGATCTTCCCCAGAGGGATTCCGTAGCATTTTCAGGATAAAGCTGTAGATGATCCAGGAGCTATGAGAGGAAGAAAATACCCTGGGGTAAAAGATTTATGGAGCCCAATCTGTTTCTTAAAAAAAAAAAAAATAATTCTTTACAGTATATGAAAAAGGAGACTGGGGGAGATATGAACAAGGTAAATCAGGTAAGGGTACATGAAAAGTAAGGCTAATATTTATCAATAATGCAAATTAGTAGCTATGGAAACACACAGAAGAAATGGAAAACATCTTTTGAGGTTTTTGGTTTACATCCAGAAAGCATGTAGAAGGCCTGTCTGGAAGATATACTTCAGTCAAGGTGATGGTTTTAAGTGAGTCAAGAAGTCGTGCTCAGTTGACGTGAAATGTTGGGGTAGAGGTTATGGCATGTGATTTGTTTATTTTCCCCCTCCACAGGTGACAATTCAGGAAGTCCTGACTGAAAATGAAACTGCAGGAGCTCTGAGGCTGACCTATGAACAAAACACAAACTTCTCCTTTGCCATCAGCAGGAAAAAAGACCAGCAAGGGTAAAAGAGTCATTCTGAGCACAGTCAAAATATCACTAGGCCACTGTGATTCCATGGAAAAAAGTTACTGTTTGAATCACCAAATCACTGGTGAAATGGATAACAAATCTTCCATAAAGTGAGTAGTCATATCAAACAGTCTGTTCACCTCAGGAAGTTTATGAAGGGCTGCAGATTCTTCACAGCTTGGGGTATGCCTCTCTCTTTGCCTGCCCCCACAGCATCGAGGTAGCAGACAGTGAAATAATCCATAAAACTCTAGGTTTGAGCCAGACAAGTACTTAAAAATATACCTTAAGTCGACATAACTGTTTAAATCTTATTAAATCATTTTGGCACCACTGAAACTTGTAAAATCACAGAGACTTGGTTTTCTAAGTTGGAATCAGTATGGCTGTATCTGCACAAAACTGCAGGATTTTGAGGATGTTTAAGAGGTGTGATATTTTCAGCCTTGGGGTATTTCAGATATTTCTTAATTTTCTAGCAAAAGACCTTTGCATTGAGAAGTCTTTTAAGTTCTTTTAAATTCTCTAATAGTTCTAAGTTTGTAAACTATGACAGCGCTTGCAAAGTCAGATTCCAAAGCACCTATACAATTTTTAAAAAGCTGATGCGTTTTCCATGGCAAAGTAATTTCTGTTTCAGTGGGCTGCATTCTGCCCCTGGGATGCACACAGATTTTTCACTGAGGTCAAAGGTGCTCTTTGGTCTCCTCTACCTTTGTGTGAATGCATCAAAAACTGGGAGCTGGGTGAGTGTTCAGTGGAAGGTACTGCCATTTGTAACTCTGAAACCTGTGGCGGACTTGGAGTAACTCAGATGAACTTGTGCTGCCAGTGAGAGTGTACTTCCTGAAATATTGTTGAACAAAAGTACATTTCTTCCCTTTAGTGAAGAGTTGAATATAAAAGCACTCCAGACTCATCCCTTCTTTCTACAGTACTTCCCCAGTGCAGCAGAAGTGTCTTCTAAGGTAACTATCTGCAAGTTATCTATCACATACATCCCTGCAAATTAGACTTGTCTAATATTTTGGGAGTCAAGCTGCATTATGTCTAGCACTAGTAACTCTGACATCTTTGTTGTTGTCCAGGATGTTCACGTTTTCAGAGATTCTAACAATCTTTCTTCTTTCTTTTTTCTTTTTTTTTTTTTAATTTAATGGGAACTTGAAAAGGTAAATTATGATATGAGTGAAGCAAAAGGCAAACTCTGCCTCAGGATGGAAAAAAGGGATTTCAATGTTACAGTGAAGCTCACTTTGACTGGAACCAGCTACACCAATGCCCTTGAAATAGTACAGACCATGTCCCAGGTTGGTATCATTGACTCTGAGGGCAAACCCAGGCTGTGACTGCCACGTTTTAGAGGGGGGTGTTCAGGATGTGGTTGCCAAACACTGAGGGTCAAAGACAGCTCCTGCTGTGTGATGTGTTTTGCCCTTGATTTCTCCAGCAGCTTGAGCAAACATTTGACTGCAGATTAGTTGTGAGTCCAATGGTATAAACCACTGCTTGATTTTATATTTGTTTGCTCCTATAGATGGAGCACATATATAGGATTTATAGGAAATCAGAAAAATAATATATTACAAACTGACCAATTGCTAATTTTTATTATGCAGATACCACATATTTCTTTTTCTAAATAAGGAAGAAAAGATGTCACAAATAGATATTGTTGTTTGAGTTATCTTCTGGATTTATTCTGTAAGAGTGGAACTCTGGATGTTGTAAGAATTATACTGTGAGAGGAAAGAGAAAATGAAATTGTATATTAAGCAAAGACTATTGTAAAGGGGACACTCAGTTGTTCCATTGTGTGAAAAGATGACTTACTGTAGAAATGAAGACAAGTAGAAATGAATAGCTGCTTATACAAGAGCAATGGGCTTAGAGTATCATTGTACTTTTAAAAACACATTCCTAAAACTAGACCCTACAGGACTTTATAGTACCAAAATTACACTTAGGTTTTTTGACTTCTCAGAGAAACTGGGATTTAATGTTTCCTCTCTTTCATTTGTAGTTAAAAATGGTTCCAAGGCAGCTTGTGTTTATGACTGTTTACCAAAAGGGCAACAGGACACGTATGCTGAGGCACATTGCTCTGTGGGATGGCAAAGAGACAAAGGTAACAGGCACTTACACTGGACTCTTCCCAAAGTTGCCTGGAGGTCACAACATTCAGGGTAGGTTTCTTAAGTCTTTTACCAGTGTTGATAACAAACTATAAAATAAAACAAACTACATAAATCTGATTTCAAAATGCATATTCAAAATGCATGTCCAAATGGTTTCAATCCTGGTTCCAATATAGGCCTTCTAGGATCTTAAATGCTTTAAATTCATTGTAATCTGGCTGTTAGAAACATCCACTTCAGAATACTATTTCTGCTTTGTGGATGTGGAACATAAAACTTATATAAACTTTTTAAAACTGTAGTAGATTCTGGTACTCTACTGCACTGGGTACTGAAGGGAGCACTGATCACACTGGCCCCTACTTTGCTGAGGCTTTGTTACCTGAAAATAAAGAAAAAAACCTGCATTTACTTATTTGAGATGTTCCTCTTCCACTGTAAGGCTTCAGCTTCAAACAGATTATTTTCCTGGCTGTTCTTGCTGCTTTGGGTGTAGCTAGCAATCTTTTGATTATTGCAGGTAACTGCTGTTTAGCAGGTAGATAGAGGGCTCCTTGTTTTCACTTGCATTTCCTCACATTGAGCAGCAATCAGCACACTGCAGTCATTTGGGCTGTTGGGAAGGTGATGTGTGTGTATGAGCAAAGACATTGCTTCTCTGGGAACCAAATGCTGCCCTGCTGTCAGTGGGAGAATATGTCCTAATGCCTTTTTCTTTATCAGAAAATGAAGACTCATGATTTGTGGTGGGGAAATCTTACTTGTTTGCTTTTTTTCCTTGTAGTGGAACTTTTCCATCCTCTCTCCATCCCTTTCCCACGGCATGCCAGGGTCAACTTATATGTGAAACATTCGGCACGTCATCACCGGGATGATCTTACTGTCATTTGGAATGAGGAGGACCAGGTACAGCAGCCCAGAGCAAATAAATATCAGGAATGTCAAATGGTTCTTCTTTTCTTTTTTTCTGTTTTTCTTTTTTTTTTTTTAAAAACTTATTAAACAAGCCAGAGAATTCAAGCAGGAGGCAAACCATCCTTCTTGGATATGTAAAAGGCTCTGACTATGGAAGATGGATGAGCAGCTGATGTTCTTGTTGGAAACATTTTCAGGCCATACTAATTTTTTTATTTGCAGTAAACCCACAACTTGCTCCTTAACCCAAGGCAATGAAATGGATGTGCTTCAAAGCAGTGGGTAAAGGCCTTTGAGAGTGAGTGGAAAGAATAGTACAAACATCATGTTTAAAGCAGCGTAGGGGAAAAAAAAATAGAATTTAAGACAAATGAGTAAGAGTGAGCATTACTGTGAGGCTGAAAAGGATGGACAACCTGTTGCATGGGTATAATATTGTGTTTGCCCACACAGAAGTGTGACACATACCTGTACTTGGTGTTTTCAGCTTTACTGACGTAGTCAAAGCTTTTTTGTATTTCACTCCTCTAAGTAGTGAGAATGACAAATATGGCACAGTTGAAACCAGTCTTTGTCTTCTTAAATTAAGTCAGCATTATTTTTAAAAAATATAAATAGTAAAAATGACAGAACTAGGAGAACTTGGGGTAGGTTGATTGCCAGGTGTGGTTAAATGGGGACACTTACTGACTTGCTGCTAACTGCTATCTGTATGTGTGTCTGAAATGCAGCATCTTGGCTGAGTACTACATTGTTTTCTGAAAATGGAAAGATAAAAGGCAATATGTAAGACACATTAACATATAGAATGTTTTTTCTTGTGCTTTGATGTGCTTTGACTGTGCAAGCTCTTTCTAAGCACTCTGTGGCAGTGCAGCCTGCAGTGCCTAAAGATGAGACAAAAATTAAACCTCAACAAACTTAAGCATTGTTCATGGTTTTAGTAAAACACAGAGAATAGTTTTCCTTTTACCTGTGCCATGTAATTCAAGTAGCAGGAATGTCCTCATTTGAACATTAATTTGCCTCACTACTTCAAAAAGGACTTTATTAGGCACATAATTCATCTGAGGAAAAGGTACAGGGAAATCTTACTTGGGTGTGTGTTTGAGGTCAGTATGTGAGAGCTGTTTTATTTCACAAGTTCCTTTTACATCTGTTGCTATGGATCAGATATCAGTGTCATCTTCTCTGAAGTTTGGAAGACACCGGACAAACTACAGAGCCACTGTTGCCCACCCATTTAATTACACCCTGAAGCAACTGGAGATCCATTCCCTGTCAGAAAGAAGGGGCAGAAAGTACAACCAGCAGGTGAGAACATGGGAAAGGACTGCAAAATACACACCTGTCATGCTGTATTTACTGTTAGTGTACCTTTCATCTCTGAGAATGGCAGAACCAGATATCACCCTGAAAAATGTAAAGAGAACCAAGGGCTATTTTCTCCTTGTGTCCAAACCACCAGCATTCTTTCCTTTTCTAAGCGTAACTGCTTTTGACTGACAGTCTTGCACTTTTAGCATTGACCCGTTTTGGATGGTAGGAAGCCAGAAGTGCACAGGGGGCAGCCTAGCAGTGAAAATCAGACAAATTTTCTCCACAAAGAAATGAACAAATTTCTAGTGCACATACTCCAAAACCTTCAAACAAACAACCTCCCCCCCAAAAAAAACCCAGAACACAACCTAACCAAAAACCTTTGATACCCCTGTGGAGCAAACATAAATTTTTGGACTGTATGGAAAATTGCCACAGAAGTGTGAAAAAATACGCAAGACTAGAAAGGCTTTAAAATACAATTATGAGTGCACTTGCAAAGCATATGTAGGGAAAAAGAGGAGGAGGAACTCCACAAATCATCCTTCAAGATTAGAGACTGTAGTTGTATTTTCTGTCTGAAAATGCACTTCATGAATCAGGACACTCCAGTTGCTGAGGCTGAAGATTTTCTGCTCAATAATGAGCTGTGCCAACTGTGCAGTGTTGTTTGTTCATCCCGAGCCCTTTGGTGCTCTTGGTTTGCACTTAGTACTCAGTACCTCTCAAGAATCTTATTCAGAGGAATAAATTCTCTCGTAGGGTCATTATTCCAGTGGTGTCATTATTTGCTGTACGTGACAGACCCCAGGCAGCTTCCAGAGAAGGCAACAAAATACTTGCACTGCCTCGGTTGTAGCAGCACAGTTTCCCCGTGCTGGTCTCCAGGCCACAGAGCCTGTTGCAGTTTTCACTGTGGTTCTGTTTCTCTCCACTGGATGGGGATCGTTCTGCTGGTTCTTCTGCTCTTCTGCTGGTTCAAGTCTTGCTGCTGGACAAATCCTTCTCTTTGGTTTCAGCTGCAGCTGGCAGGGAATGCTGGGCAGCCTGCTGACATCCGACTGACCCTGGAGGATAAATCCAAGGTGGACATCACTGCCTGGGCAGGCTGTGTGACACTCTCTGCAGGCCAGGTAGACTCTCAGAAGGGAGAAGTTTGGTTTTTTTCTTCTGCACTTGTTACCATGTGAAAGCCTTTTACTTGAAACCAATCTTTTCGTGTCTCAGAGGGAGAAAAATGAACCCTCTGAAGAATTTAGTTTCAAGTTGCCAGATGTGGTTTTACTGGGGCTGCAGCTTTCCCTCAGGACAGAATTGTCAACCCCTCAGGTTTCCTGGCAGAGGTTGAAGCAGTGTTTTATGGATATAGACCATTCAGGGGTTCTCACAGGGGTGTATTTTTGCCCAGGAAATGTACTGCCCTAGGATATACTGAACATATTTATTTTTTAATTAATTATGTGTGTCAATTTTTTCCTCTCTTCCAGCTTCAGAGAATATTAAGTATGGAACACCTGCATGCATGTGGGTCTCTAGAGCAAAAATCAACACTGTTTAATGAATATCTAGATCTGAACTGGGATGACAAAAAAATCAAACACAATTTAACATATGAGGTAAGAGAAGGCAGCTGTATTTGTTAACTCACCATTTTTATGAAAGCTGTTCTTAATAGATGAGAAATTATTTCTGTTTTAGACATAATGTTGCATGGATTTTAAGAAAGCTTCTGTAGAGTCCAATTTTCTGTGAAATATCAATATTTGACTCTATCTTTTACATTTTTCTCTACATAGGAAGAAAGATAAAGGTAGCATATTAAAGGAAGAAAGTTTTTACCAACTTGAAGCCTCACTTGTGCTCTAAATTTGCAAAACTTTAGAGTTAATTCTGAAGGACAGGAACCAGAAACAAGGCTGATGATCTAAAACACTGTCAAGTGGAAATGTTATGTTTCAAAAATGTTACATTAAAATCCTGAAGCTACTAGAATAACAAAAGCCAGCACAGGGACAGGGTGAGTGGGCACCCAGGAGTGTCTAAGATCCTGTTGTCGTATTTTAACTTTGGTTCATTGCAGAGAAATCAATTCTTGTATCCTGATAAATTCCAGTTAGAAGCTGTCCTAGAAAATATTTTCCTGACCCCATGCACCAAACAGAAGATTCTGGGTAAAATAGAAACAAACTACTGCTCTTCCCTGGATCATTACACAAGCTTTGAGCTCTGTGACCTTCAAAATGTAAGTCTCAGATAAACATACTGAACCTACTTCACTATAAATGTAATTACTGTTTTGGAGACTCAATTTTCCTCAGCTGCAACTCTTCATGAGAATTGCCATACTTCTGTGACCTAAATAAATAAACAGTGTCTTTTGATGGGCTGAGGCAGAAAGGTTCTGTTTGCCACTGTAGTATATTCTATAGGCCCTGCTGTGGGTGTAAAGATTCCCACTTCCTCCATGTTCTTTCTCTCCTATTCCTCTTTCAAAGGTCTTTTAATTTCATGTTTCTGGAGAATATCAAAACAGGCTCATAAGTGATCAAAAAGGAAACTAGAGAGCAATAAAAATGCTTTCCTTCCCCTGTGGGTAAATGTTTACTGGTTTTTATGATTGCTCTGCTGGTAGTGATGGATTTTTGAACTTTAATGTAACCTTTATTTCTATTAAACTCATAAAATGAAGACCGATCCATGATCTTCCTTAGGTGCACACTGGACCTCTGAGTTGCCTATAGATACTCACAGCAAACACAAAAACTGGAACTTGCAGAAAATGCCTTCATTTACATACATGTTTTCAGTTCCCAGTGGCTAAAACACGTCCCAGTTTCCAGCAGGTCACGCTCTGTTAGCAATGGGAAACAGAAGCCAAATTTTGATGCCTGTGAAAACTTCTTCCAAGACTAAGGTGTGATAGAGCCTGTTTATAAAGCAAGGAATGTATATGTATGTCACTTCAAAATCAGATGCCTCTGTATTCTTTTAGATCCTTCTTTTTCAAAGGTATCATGCTAGAAATTAAGCACCAAGCAGCTGCTCTCTCAACCCCTCTCTCTCCCCCCATGAGCCCCGTAGAATGGGGAAGAGAATCAAAGTAAAGCTTGTAGGTTGAGATAAAAACAGTTTAATAATTGAAAACAAAGTAAAATACAATAATAAGGGTAAATAATAATAATGATAATAAAAAGGGAAAGGAAAAAAAAAAACCCAACCAGGTGATGCACAATGCAATTGCTCACCACCTGCTTGCTGATGCCAGACCCCCTTCCTAAACCCAGATTGGCCCCCTCCAGGTAACTCCCACAGTTTATATACTGGGCATGATATTCTGTGGTGTGGAATATCCCTTTGGTCATTTCAGGTCACCTCTCCCAGCTGTGCCCCCTCCCAGTTTCTTTTGTGCACTTCCTCACTGGCAGACCAAGGAAAAAAAAAAAAAGAAAAAAAAGAAGTCCTTGACTTAGGATAAACAGGACTTAACACACTGATGTTTTGGGTTTTGCTATTGATATTATTCTCATTCTGAATCCAAAACACAGCACTGCACCAGCTACTGAGGAGAAATTAACTCTATCCCAGTCAAACCCAGGACAAATATCCACCTCGCCTCCCACACACCCTCAACCTTATCAAAATGCCTAGTCAGAGTTGCTGAGAAGCACAGGAGCAAAAAAAAATGGATGTTTTAACAAAATACAGTTTCTAACTGTTCCTGTGGTCTTAGGCTGCAATCACTGAATGTATTTTTTTATACAACAGAAAATGAAGATGTAACAAAGTGAGACAGTGTGAGGAGGAAGATGTGCTGGTTTCTGAAACTACAAGTTTTGTTCATCTCTTCATTGTGTAAATTCCAGGAGAATGCTACCATTGTACAACTTCCTACTACTCTATGCAGAGCCCATCTTTGGAAGAATTAAGCTTTAACACCCTTTTTTTTTGTGCATACCTAGGTAATTGTTTTATCTGGAAAACACCAGCTCAACAAAGATAACATCATTTTGCAGTCAGAGGGCAGATTCCACCTTGGTGATCACAGGACAGATGGGGGGTTGATTGGAGTATCCATAAAGAATCAGAGCACTGCTGATGTGAAGAACTATTCTATGGAAATTGATGTGAGTTTTTATTTTATTTTAGTGGCACTAGGTTTTGGTTTTTAAAGGCCTGCTGCCATCTATCTCCCAAAAGGATCAGGTGCAGCCAGTGACTGTAAAACAGCAGGCGGCTTAAAATATTCCTGGTTTCTCTAGTTCTGTTTATAAAGGAGCAGTTACATCATGTCCATGTGGTGTGATCAAGAGAGGAAGGCACCAACATTAGTTATCTGCAGAGCTCAGGCCCAAATATAATAAGTGTGTATCAAGGGAGTATATCAGTTTTAAGAAGCTGTGGGTTTTTATAGCTCACCTTCAGCATGACTGGTCTGTTTGGTGAGGCTTGGTTTTTTCACCTTATCAAAAAAAAAAAGAGGGAAACAAAATACAATACTTACAAAAAGCATCATTTACCAGAAAAAAGAACTGGCTTTAAAAAGGCACAGAAAGGCTCATATGATGCTCATCTGAGGCAAATCTCTTCCTTTTACCCTCTGTTTCACATTTGCTTTTAATTTCCTGTGAAATAAAGAAGGTGGAGAAGCTGGTGGTGGAAACAGAGTGAGGTAGAAAAGTAACGTGTTCAGCACCAACCAAACTCTTCAGTAGCAGGAATGTGGGTACTCAGGCTTTCATTGCTACCAGTAAAATTTTGTCCAGGAGCCTCGTGCTATCCAGTCATTCAGCTCCTGAGCCAGTCCTCTTGCTTGTGCCTCTCTTAGTATAACTCCTACACAGTGCACAAACATCGGGAAACACTTCCCTCACCACTTACTGTTCTGTGGGAAGCACTGATATTCAGCATCATCTCTGAACAATCATTTAATTCTGTGTTGTGGCTTTGAATAAACGTTTTTCCTTTATGGCTGCAGTTAAGAGCCTTTGAAGACATTTGGCTAGGCCTGGCAGGAACTGCTACTTCCTCATCTGTCCAGAGCCAAATCCTGGTGGAGGGGAATATTGATCAGAAAGAGAAAGTAAAAGTGGCAGCTTCAAAAGGAAAGGAGTGCATTCAGTACTACCTGGGGTATCTGAAAGGTATGTACCTTCACTGACAATGCTTGTAGCCACACGATTTAGTTTTAGGTAATCCTACAAGGAGCAGGGAGCTGCACTTGGTGATCCTTATGGGTCCCTTCCAACTGGAGCTATTCTATGATTCCCAGCTGTCATTGCTGTGAAGAAGCTGGATGAAAGGCTGTGTCTCTAGTGCCAAGCTGGGTCAGTTCATGGTGATTCAAGGTCTTTCAGATTAAAAAAAAGCTGAAACTTAAAACTTGTTACACAAAGGTCAGTTTGGGAGACGTTTTGGTTTCACTTATGGATTTGCCTTTCCACACTTCTGCAGAGGAATTTTTCACAGGTTCATGGCCTCACTTGTAAGTGCTGTGATGTATTTGAGATTAGGATCATTAGTTTGTGAATCACTGAAGTCAGAAGTTTGTAACAGTGGTTCAACTCAACTCTCTCCTCCCAGACTCTCCGTGCCTTTGCCAACCGGTTCTGTTTATGCTCATCAGTGCTTGGGTAGAAGCGCCTTCGGTGTGTGATGGGTGGTCCTGCCAGGCTGAGCAGTTTTGAAACATCAAGACAGTGAAGGCTAAAGTAGAAAAGAAGCTTGTAAATCACTGTGACTGAGAGAACTATTTAGATTTATGTCAATCCAGTGCTTCACTTGCCGTAGCAAATCTGTAGTTGTAAGTCACACAGAAGAGAAGGATCAAACACTGATCTAATTGTCTCCTGTTTATCTCTTTTTTTTTCCCCCACAAACACCTAACACACTCAGACACTGATTGATCACCTGCGTAGTAATTAAAAGCTGGTTTTGAAACAATGTCTGTCAGTGTTGTTCCTGTAAATGAAGCGCTGTCTTTTCGTTCCCTAAGGGGATTTGGAAGAAGGAATGGAAGTCAGCGCTTGTTCTGATGGGCAGGAGATGGCTGCCATTAACACCTATCTCAGCATCAATGGAGAAAGGAAGGAAAACACGGGACAAGTGACTCTAGCAGCTGCTAATGGAAGCTTGAGTTTTCTGGCTCAGGGATGCGGGGATCTAGTTCTTAAGGCTGAGGTGAGACCCTTGAGTGGCTGTTAACTGCGGTGTGATTTTCCCGGAATATCGTTTAATTTTGTTAATTTACTGGAACATCTTCCTCGTAGGATTCAGGTGTGAGTTTTGGTGAGTAGCCAGGCAAAATTATATAATTTTATAAACTCATAATAACGTTAATTTCACATTGATGTGAAAAGTTATGGTGAGAATTAAAAAGTTCAGCCATACCCAGAGACAGAAAATACGGGACCCTCTCCTGAAGGGTGAGTCCTCTGAGGAGGGTAAGTAAATAAAGTGAGAGCAGCAGTAACTGCTCAGTATGTTGGTTACAAAACTAAGATTAGTATTCCTGACTGTGCTTTTACTTCTAATAGGGTTTCACATAGTCTCTGCTTGGAGGAGGCTTTTTGAATTTTCATCCTTAGACCTGCTGTTCCCATGTCTATCCATTGAATAAGGCAGAAGTAATTCCCCCTGAGAAATGGGAGGCCACTGTGGAAATTTGCTGGCATTTAAACTAGTACAAACTTTGAGTGATTTGGACCCAGCACAAGCAGGTTTAAGTCATAAATTCAAGGTTTTTATTAATCTTCTCACAGTACAAGCTTAATGAAATTGGGAGTCTTTTGAAAGCCAAACTGATGGAAAAGATAAAGAAGTTTGATGGATACATGTGGAGATTCAGGAGATCAGTAAGTATCTGTACATATCTGTGAAAACACCATGAGGTGTTCAGGCAGTGTTAATTAAAATCATTGCATTGCCTGCAGTTGTTTTGTTTTGCTCAAACATTTAAATGATTACTCCTGTGCTGACAGCTAACTCAGACAAAGAGCATGTTTCATGTAGAGATCTTGTATCTCTGCACCCACACCGAGGAGTCAGAATTGCCTCACCATGGAGTCAAAGCTTTGCACGAGATCAGTGTGTATTTTGATATTGCTTGTTATTTGGGAACCACTGTAGGTGCAGCAAGTTGGTTTCCTGTCTGAAGCAGCTGGCTGGCCTTCCACAGCCTTGCAGAAGGCGGCAGGATTCCTGCTCAGCGGGGGCAGAGCTGTCGCCCAGGCGTGGAAGCAAAGCGGAATCGGGCAGATCCTGAGGAGCAAGGTCCCGCTTTACCTGGATAAAGTTCAAGGCATTGTCCAGCAAATGCAGAACGAATTACAAAGTAAGTAAAACTGAGCAAAGCGAGGAGAATAAGGACAATGTCAGTGCAGGGCAAAACAAACTTGGCTACAAACTATAAAATATGCTGACAGCATAAAGGTTTCTATTTTGATCCAGCAAAAAGTGCTGACCTTGGCTCTTAGTGTACAGAGTGGGAGCCTTGATGCAATAAGCCCGAAGTAAGCTCTCTGTGAGCACCTTTCTAATGAAATCAGTGATGAGACATTCTCTGCGTCACAGGGGGCCGAGTTCAGATGAGAACAGAGCCCTAATTCCTAAGCTGAAGTATTTCTGCTAACAACTCCCTGGCAAGCCTTTCCTCCCAAAGGGCTGTTCATATCCATCCTTGAGTTTTGAATGCTTGTACTAATCGGATTTCACTTGATCCCTTTGTTCCAAGCTTGTCCAGTAGTCTCTAATTCACTGTTCAGCTGGACTGTGGCCCATCCTGAAGCCTTTGAGTTTCAGCTGTGAGTTCTCACAAGAGTAAAACCTCACTTTGGGCCACTTACCTCTAAGCTCTTCCCATGCAAAAGTTGGATTTAGTTGACATACCATCTTTGAAATCAGTTGTGACCAAACTGTCCTGTTACTAATCAGATGTAGTTTGTGCAGTACACTCTGATGGTGGCATATTGCAAAGCACTCCTCACATCTTTTGGACAGCAGCAGTGTATTTATAAGGGGCTCAAGGTTAGAGCTAAATGCCTCTTTCAGTTTTCCCTAACACTGTGTCCACACACAGAGCTGTGCAATGTGCCCAAACTGCCACGAAAACAAAGCTGCCTCTTCCTGTTTTGTGTGTCTCCCCTTCCCTTATGATGGAAGGTGCGAGGAAACAAGCAAACAAACAAGCAAAGAGCCACTTTGCACCACACCAGCTAAGGTTTGTTTCATTAATGTGTTTGCTTCAGAGCCACTAGCAACTTTGAAGGATGCCTACTATGACGTAACCTTGAAGCCACTGGATGAGGTCTGGAAAGAGAAGACAGAAGAGTACATGAAGAAAATCCAGGCTTTTTTACCCAATATTGTAAAGGATGCATGGCTCATGGAACCAATCCAGCTGGCATTAAAGGTTGTGAAAGCAGCCTTGGATACGGTTGGTATAACTCAGTTCTCCATTTTTAGTGGTTTGTAAGGCAAGGCCTACAAATTTAAGTCTCAGCTTTGAACTATGGATACACAAAAATGATTAACTATTTTGTTTATGGAAATAGTGCAGTTATCTTTACACATAACAAACTTGTGCACAGCTAACTTACTGTTCTTGCAGTATTTGTCCTGCCTTGAAAGCAGTACTTTTCCAGCTAGAGGAGAGGTTGTTTCACTAGTTCTGGTTGAAAGCACAGCAGCAGTCATCTGTCATTCACGTAGATTTTACTTTTCTTCCACAGAGGATGAACTGTGATTCCAGCAAACAATGTACATATTTGGGATCTTCTAGTTGAAATGAGGAGCATAAAATATATCATGCCAATTTATATTAACAAAGATACCAATCCTTTGCAAGCTACTGAAGTGCATTAGCTCAGTGAAGTATTGGTATACTTTAAGTAATATTATTTAGGAAGAACATATTTCTGTCCATCATTTGTAGCTGTTGTGAGTAGAGCCTACCCTCTGGATATTAACCTCTAAATGACAGGCAAGTGACAAATGCAAGAGAGACTTAAGTGCTATTTCACTGACTGTCCATTTAAAACTGACTGTCGATTTAGCAAGTACTGGCCCTGCCCTGAAGCCATCCTGAAGTCGGTTTTGTAATCTCTTCTGACTCTCCAACAGACCACACAGCAGATGTTCAGGTGGGCAGAGGCCACGTTTTCCAGAGCTGTGAGGAAGATCCGGAAGCCCTTGCTCAACCTGTACAGTTTTTCAGCCAGGTAACTGGTGTTCCTGCAGGATCCCTGCTGCTGGGTGCTGTTCTAAATGGATATGTGCATAGTTAGTCTTCCTATCAGTTTGCAGGCTGAGGGTTCTGGACAGACACCCAACTCCTCCTGCTTTGGGCATAAGACACCCTAATGTTCATTTCTGTTGGCTGTCAGACCCAACTGCCTTTCAACAGGAGCTACTGGGCAGCAAACAGAATAGTAATAACTGATAACTGGCCTTTTATGGCCTTGGGCAGTGCAGCTGGTGGCCAGTGTGGGGCTGTTCTAACCAGACTACAGTTCTTATGAATATTTCACTTCCACATTTCTTATAATAAACCAACAGCATGTCCTCAGTTGAGCAGATAAAGGCTCCTGCCCGTTTTGTTTGCATTCCACAGGAACTGTTCCGTGGCAGTAAAACTGCCAGTACTGCCCAAAGGAGACCACTCCCTACAGCTGGCAAATGTTCCTACTTATCTCGTTGGAGAGAAAATAATGAGGCCTCTGCAAGACCTCTACAAAATCAACATCCTTGCGGAGTATTATAGATTCAAACGGAGGATGGTGGAGAGTCCCTTTGAATGTAAGCCCTTTCAACGTGCTGCTTTGTTTTGTAACTGGGTCCACTTGGTGCTATATTTGAAAAATCATATTTGGAATAGTACCATTTGGATGGTTGCTAATTAATAATTAATAATTTTCCATCAACTTTATATAGTCTTTCCTGTAAGACAGTAGTGGTATGTAAAAGAGCAACACTCTGGGCAAAGCTGGCATAAAGTAACACTCCTCTGCTTCATATTCATGCAAATTTTCCAACTCTTCACACTTCATACTCTTGAAACTAGAAATCAGCAGGTGCTATTTATCTGTCTTATCCACATGCCCTTGTGAGTTGATACTGTGGTTCAACGCCAGTCATACCCACGGCTGTGTCCTGGCATGGAGGCTTTGAAACTGGTCATCTCACCTCTGTTGACTCTGGGATGGAAAAGCTCAGCCCTACCAAAACTTCAGAGACAGTATTGCCTGTAAAAGCATTGCTAAATGCTAAAAAACTGCATTAACAATCCCAACTGTCCCTTAGAGAGAATGGCTTTTCCAGAAAGAGCCATTTTTAATGGTTTCCTCCCACTGGACCGACGGGCACAAAGAGGGCTGTGAAAGTTGGTCCTAGTGACCAAATAATCTAAGTGATATATCAGCAGGGACTGCAGCTCTGTTTGCTGCTCTGGTTTGGAAGGGCAGTGTCTGGACAGAGTTAATATTCTTGCTGTTTTCTGCATAAGAATGTATGAAGTGTAGGGTATATGTGTGTGCTTAAAAAAAGCAAGTTTACAAGTAGCAGGACAATAAACCAAAATGAGCTCTGAATCCCAATTCATGTTTCTCAAAGTTTCAGGACACCCAGGCAAATCTATAATGAAAAATAAATCATTAAATTGCCTTGTTTCTGGTAAAATTTTTGTTGCAGAGTAACTACAGTGTAACTAACTAAAATGTAAATGTAGTAATGTCAATGTAATAATAACTTGAGAAATTATTTTAAGAGCATGCCAGCCAGAAGCTGTGTGTTGCAGTATGCACAGCACTCACTGCTCTGTGGGAAACTCACTAATGTTTCTTCTGAAATCTCTAGATCATGCTCTGTTAGTGGGAACCAAACATCTTGTGACTTTTGATGGAAAAATTTATGATTTGGCATCAAAGTGCAGTGTACTTCTTGCCAAGGATTTTGTCCACAATGCTTTCACTGTAATACTAAGTGAGGAAACCAGTAACTCAAGATCACTGTATGTGGAGATGAACCAGACTGTGATCAGTATCCACCCAAGACTGAAGGTAGGAGGAGCAAGTCAAACATTCTTCATTTTCACAGCAGAAATTATCTTAAACCAACAACAACAAAAAGAGCTTTCAAAATATTAATGCTTAAAACACAGAACAGAATAGCTCTCAGACAAGTACTTTAAAGTAACCACTTCTTAATCAGAAAATACCTCTCCAAAACAAAGCCAGTTTAATGCAAGGGCTGCCTCTTTGCTCCCTGCACACTAAAGGAAATTTTCAGCATTTCTCTTAGATCATGTCAGAGGATGGTACTGTTAGAGAGGTCTGGAGATCAAACTGGGCCTGTAGCCTTGGAGGCTTTGTGCTGTCTGCTCTTCTGGAAGTTTAACACAACTCCCTTCTTATTCCCTGATTCTGGGCTAAGTTGGTCCCATCTGAGCTTGCCTGTTATTGAACTCTAACAGTGACAGATTTGAAACTGCATTTTCATTTTAAAACAGATCTCCAAGATGTTCTCCTTTACGGAAGAGAGCTGCCAAGTACTGGATAAATCACTTGAAAAGAATACCACTAATTCAAGGAGAGAAACCAACAAAATAGAAATATCTAATCAGAAAGGAGTTTCTCTATCCTGTGACTTTCAGTATGATCTCTGTACTGTCACTCTGGCTGGGTGGCACCACGGTGAGTACCAATAATACAGCCTTTGTCAGCTGTTAGTCATTATTTTTATCTCTCTAAATTATTATCAACTGTAGTACCAGCATCTGGGTTGTCTTTCACTTGTTTTTCCCCTCTTCATTTATGCACACTGGAAATGGCCCTAGGCATTCCCAGTAATTGCCAAATCATTCCAGTGGTTAGTAAGTGGTTATGGATTACTGATGATTCATTGTTATGAAGCAGACAAATGTAATGCAGTCAGCCCAGCCCCAAACCCTGGTTGAGAATCACTGCTTTAGAGCTGTCCTAGCTTGTCAGACCTGCAAGACAACTACAGAGGGAGGCCTAAAACCTTACAGGGTTTTTAGTATACTTGGAATGCATTCCTATCCATGTGCCCCACACTACTCTAAAACTCACACTCCCAAGATTAGCAGAGGATGGATCTGATGCCTTGATGTGGTCAAGAGAAACACATGACCAGCTAAGACAAGAGATGGCAATGCAGGCTGGGACAAACCCAGAATGGCTATCTGGACATACCTTCTCTTTTTCATGTTGGAGCTGAGCACTCCTGTAAGAATAACTGGAGCTCAGAAACAGCTTCTGTAACTTTCCTGCATCTACTCCTAAAAACTACTATTTTACCCCATTTCAATTTCATCCCAGGTATCTCAGCTGGGCTTTTTGGTACCAATGATAATGAAGCTGGAAATGAATGGATGCTTCCTAATGGTTCCTTCACTGACAACGTGCAAGAGTTCACACAGAGCTGGCAGGTAAGGAGCTCAAGGGCTTCTCTGTGCAGGGCACCAGGGGTGCTGAGCACAAAGGGCACTGTGTACTCAGTAGTGTACTCAGCTGTGCTGGTCAAATGGAGCATGAAAAAATCTTTCCTGACCAAAAGTTTTAGCTCAACTCTATGTAATACAGAAAGTGAAAGCACAGTCAGGTTAGATCTGGCCAGGTATTGAAGCCTGAGATAAAAGCACTGGTCACTGCACTGCTGGAGTCACCTCACCCTGAACCGTGAGCTCTGGCTTGCAACTCTCTCCCAGGAGACTGACCTTCCTTCCAGCAAAGTTCCAGTGCCACAAGGCCAGGGCTGCACAACAGCAGGAGGCAAAGGAGGAGCCTGCAAGGTCTGGCTCCTGCAGGATGAGGGTCATCACAGATTAAACTGCTAGTTCATTTTTCTTAATAACTAAAAATCACTAGAATTTACACTTAAAGAACTTTTTGGTTGGTTTGGGGTTTTCTTGTTTGTTTTCGGTTTTTGTTTGTTTGAGGCTTTTTGTTTTATTTGGTTTTGAGTTTTTTTTAAGGACTTCTTTACCTATGAATAACCCAGCAAGGACAGGAAGATTTTTTTTCCTACATTAAAAAGATCTAGTAAAAGCACATCTTTGACCTGTCAGAGCTATATAACAAGAGAACTAGCCAACAGCCTGCTGTGTCGGTGAATAGCAGAATCAAGAGAAAATCCCTTAGTGAATAACAGAATCAAGAGAAAAAGGAAACAATGTCTAATCTGTAATATTAGTTACATCTCAGTATTGAACAATAAACATTAGAGCAGTGTACTGAGCTGCCCATATCTTCCTTTAAACCAGCTCACACTGGAAATCTGAAGAATTCATCCTAACCTGATGTATTAAAAAACAAAGTCCCCCAACTTCAGTAATTCTGCTTTCCCAGGTGAACAAGTGCAGTCTTGTACCGAAGAAAGAGAAGTCATGTCCAATTACAGGCAATCAAAACATCTGCAAAGTGTTTTTTGAAGAACCACATTCACTTCTTAGGAACTGCTTCAAAATTGTAAGTAGAACTTCAGCCGTGAAGGAGTGTCTGAATCACCCAAGTGTCATTCTTCAAGGGAGGACACATAACCCTTGCAAGGATGTGGAAGTTTAGTCATGGATTACTTTAGAATAATCAGAACAGCAATCCAGACATAAAAAAAAAAAAGCTGTTATTATCACCATACATATAAATTGAGGTCCTTGACATCCACAGAGTAGAGGCATGATTGCACCACTCTTCAGAATACAGGTCTAGAATCTGGAAATAGAAATAACCCCCTCAATGTTAGGAAGAGAATAAAGGTTTATGAATGGCCCTAATGAGGCAGGGGGAGGGAGACCCACATCAAACCTTTGGGTCCAGCTGCAGGTGCCCCCTGCTCCCCTAAACAATCCCTTTGTGTTAAGGTGGACCCCGAGCCCTTCTACACCATGTGTACACAGGACACCTGCGAGTCCCCGGCCCCGGGGGCTGCCTGCAGCTCAGCAGCAGCTTTTGTTCATCTGTGCAACCGGAATTTTGTCCCTGTGGAAATCCCTCCACAGTGGTGAGTTTCATTTCTTTTCCCTCCTGAATATTCTGACTGCATTGCTCTAGTACTTACACGTCTGTAATTCAAGAATGCATGAGAAAATAAAACTAATGAACCTGACTGTGGGAATGAGCAAAACTGAGTGTTCCTGGAACAGTTGTCTTGCTCCTTGGCTATCTCCCCTTCCTGCTGTTCCCTCACCAGCACACCACAGCCCACCCACTTCACACTCTTATATAAACTTCTACACATGAATATGAAATACAGAGACAAATTTTGTTAAATCTAAGTCTGAATATCCAGTTGAAAACAGAGTTTTAGAACGGCTTGGTAGCTGAATGATTGAAGTCAGCTAGTGCTGCTGGTTTATATTATCCCATCTGAAGAAAGGGATTGGAATGAAAGTGGATCACAAGCTCAGTTATCAATAACATGCTATTAAAGCATGCTCTTAAACAAGCAAAGTACACTGGGGATGTATACAAGAATAAACATATTTAAGACAAGAAATAATTCTTTATTCATCTTTTGTATCCAGTTTTGGACACCATGTTTTACTTAAACTGTGAACTAATTGAGAACAGTCATGGGGAAAAAATTGAAGGGCTGAGGCTTAACATGAGTAAAGTCTCTAAATATGTAAACACACTAAAGAGAAGGAAGTGTAACAGACCAAACTACAGTAAGGGAGAGTTGGGTTTGACACAGTGAAAGACTCTGTCGTGGCCAGTCCAGTCACGCACAGTAACCGACAGCCAGCCATGGTCAAAGAACCAAACAGAAAGTGTCTGTCTGGAGTAACCACCTCTGCACCACTTCCTAGAAATTCACTCTTGTCAAGGATCTTCCACTGAATAGCTGAACTAGCCAGAGCCCAGACATAATGCCAAACTTCAGACATAATGCTGCTCTTTCTCTCCTAAACGTGAATTTATCAAACGTGAAAGAATCCTACATCTTTCTTTCAGTTTAGCATATCCAAGATAAAACTGTATCTAAAACGCTGGAGTACTTTTCCCACAGCTTGTTGATGTCATAAATGTATTTGATGCTATTTTTCCCTTCCTAGATTCTTGTAATTCAGAGTAATAACCGGTTGCATTACATGTCACTTGTACTTACTAACCACTTACCTGGATTTCATCTCTTCTTCATTTCAGCTTGAGCCTGTTCTGAATGGCACATACCAGCCCTGGAGATGGAAGAACCCTTTCAGCACCCAAAAATAGAAGTTATTTTAGGTAGACAAGCTAGAGGCAGGAGCAGGAGAACAGTAGCAGTGCAAATGCATTAGTGTTAGACAATGAATATAATGAAGCACATATAGTATAAAAGGAAAGCTTTCCACCAGAACCCCTGAGGGCAAGAGGAATTATTTCAGTATACTGACAAGAAACTATAATCAACCAAAGGAAATTGAAAGTAATAGTATCAATTACTTTAAAAGAATTCTCCCATTCAGTGGCAAAATTGTGTCTCCACAAGCCTTGAACCATAGCATAAATACATTTAAATGCTGACAAAAGGTCTCTTCCAGCTCAGATTAGTACAAGTGGAATACTTTGTGAAAGCAGCATTATCAGCTTTGAGTCAGCAGAGATGCTGACTTCTTTTTTCTCCAGAAATGAAACTCTGCTGTTCAGCAGTTCTGGACAAAGTTATCTTTTTTTTTTTTTTTCAAGGGAAGTGCTCCAACACATGAGAGCTACAGTAGAAATAAGATGGTTAAATAATTGAAAGCACTTGATAATTTTCTCATTTTTATGCTGGCTGATTTTTCCCTTACTAACGTGTACACTGTTAAATGAGAAACACCCTTCTTGGTATCTGTGTACCAGTTTCACGTTCTCCCTTTGTGCCTTTAGAAGCCCTTTCTCAGAAATCAGCTGATGTGTTTGGAAAGGGTGATTGATATCTATCCAACCCATAAAGTAGCCTTAAGGTGCTATAGCTGTTGTTGTGTGAAAACGTCTTATCTGTTAAATCCTTTTATATTTTAAGTCTATTGATTAAAGAAATGCATTACCTTTCTCCACCCATACCTGGAAGGCAGCTATTCCTCAGCAAAAGGTTAACACTGCAAAATCCTTCCCATGTCTTTACATAACATGCAAACGTTGAAATAATGGTGTTCTGAACTAGGAGATAATGCTAATAAACATTTGACTTCCTTATTATTATGCTGGAGTACATTTTTATTGATTATTCATAAGAATATAAACCTGTACTGATCTACAGAGCTGGAATTGGCTGGGTTTGAATGGCTCACAGACAAACCCAGCACGGGCCTCTGTTACCTCGTGGATGCTGCTTTCAGCCACATTCTCTTCCTGAACACTGAACTCCCTAGCGTGACACATTCTAACTAAAACATGATCCCCACACTAGTCAGGAAAAAACCCTGCACTTGTTAGGATTTCCACACACATCAGATGCTGCTGTATAAAACACAGTAGAAATCAAGTCCTCCTCTGTAGTAATTTTCTAACTGCACTCTTACAGAGAAGCCAAAACTGTATGAAATATTTCTGAAAGTTAAAGAGTATTTATATCAGTTAGTGATTCAAAAAACCGCATCATCTTCTCCCCAGTCACTGAATGTCATTTCACTCCCCAGCTAAGCACACCGAGCACCTTTGAAAAAATCCTGAGGTGACAGTTGCAAGAACAAAGTAAAATGTAAGCAGGTAGAGGAAAAGATTCAGAAAAGCTCAGTCAGCAATAAACAGAAGTTTAACTAAATGTTAACTGCAAACAGCAGCACTGAGCTGGATGCAGACACCAGGTCTCCTGAAAGCTGCACCTAACTTATCACCGGTGATAAAGACACCATTTCACCCCCAATAAACATTTTAAACTACAGCCATTGCCCTCAGCTGTTGCTGGTTACCTCTGAGCTGTTCCCAGGTTATGCCTTTCACGTCCAGATCCGATCCAGCCCTACCTAAATACAATCTAATCCTACATCAATACAACTTTTCGAATGCATTCAGTAAATACGAATCACTGCCAGATGGCAAGCTACGTTTAATTCTGTAAATTCACAGACACTAGCAAGGGTGCAGCAGTTTTAGCTGTTCATTTTCAGGATTTTTGCTGTTTATTTCCAGGGTTTTACTGCCTGGTTAGAAAGCATGGCAAGGTGAACATATCTGGAACAAGCTTCAGATTCCTTGCATAAGAAGCATTCAGATGGAAAACTATCATCAGCAAGAACAGTTGCTAGTCAACATGCTGACCACATGGATCATTTCTAAAAGGCTACAGCATTCCACAAGTGGATTTTTTTCCCTCAGGATTTAAAACAGTAAATAAACCCAGATTATCAAAACTCTGTATCTCTGTCTATTGGTATTACGTGAGCAGGGTCTCAGAGCACAGGACTTCCATTATCCTACTGTCTCTAATGTGGTCTCATTTGGAATATCAAACTCAAGGCTGGGAATTGCACTCTGAAATCCAGTCCTTCATCTACAAAGATCTGAAATCTTTAAAGGAGACTATTTAATTTCCACATGCTTTGAAAACATAACCTCACAATTAAAAAACGTAGTTACCATCACCTGGTTCTCAAATTGTACTGTTCAATCAGAAATCACCTTCCCTTCTGACATGCATTCCCAATTAACACAGCTGTATTCCCGGACAACACAGTCCCAAACCACAAAGCTATTCCACACAGAAAATGCAATATATTCTTCAGGATTCAAGCTCTCTTTAGACAAAAGGGAAAATAAATAGTAGTAACATTTCTTCTTTTTAAAGGTGTTTTGATGTCATACTTTTGTGTTCTCCCACACAAGGAAGAAAGAAAGATAAAAATAAAATATATTTTAGAATGATCTAAACAGCTAAAAATAGCATTGGAACAAGAAACCTTCAAAGAGAAAAATACACTTAGGGGCAGAAAGCTTGTTTCATAAGGTGGTAAACATATTTGCATCTTGGAGAACCTATTCCAGGGAATCCTGCATAATGACTTTTCAGTTTATTTCACTTCACTGGAACACAGGGGTCATTACTGTACCACTTTCAATATTTCAGAAACCAGAGAGGTTTTTAAGTACAACATTCTGCTTTATGGTTACCAAGAGACATCTGTCTTACAAGCGGAGTTTACTGACGTGGTCATTACTGAAAGAGAAAATACAGGCAAAGATGTTATTTCCAACCACAATCTAAATAGACTGAAACACATTTTGCCTTCGTTCCAGGTATTGAGTTCACCCTGGCAACATGAGTTCTGCGCAGCCCTTGCTGCCAAGAACACCCGCCCTGCTGTAGGAATGACGCCCTCAACACATGCTCCCAGGAGCAGCAACTAACACAGAAACATGGAGCATTCCTAACAGCATGGACACCTCACTTAAAACATCAAACAGGTGTTTCTCAAATCTGTTTGTGTAAAAAGAGACAGTGGAAGACATGAACATCGCAGTTATTATCAGATAAGCACTGATCCCTACACTTGACTCTGAGTCCGACTTCTCACTTTGGTTTACTCCAAGAGTAACTGGTGGTTGGTTGAAACCACAAACACACAGAATAGTCTGACACCAAGAAAGTACATTTCCAGTTATTTTAGGCAGAAAAACAGTATCTAGGGGATGATTCTCTGCAACTCCTCCACTTCAAGGCTCCACATATCCTTATGCACGGGGTTTTCGGAGAGATCTGTCATCTTTATTGCTCGAAGAACAGGCTCAGGACTGCAGGACCGCACCACACCCATCACCATTACATATTTCCCTAAAAAAATAAGCAAGCGTAAAATTAAATTAACCTTTGTATATTCATTTTAATTCATAATGCAAATTATTTAAAGCCAATTAAACACTGTGAATTGAAGCTGCTGATACTTGCAAGAAAACTCAAGGCTCGAAGACTGTCTAGAACTGAATTTCAGGGAAAAAAGGCTTGGTTATCTGTACAGCCACTTTTACAGCAGATTTGACTAGATTTTCACGTACAACAAGAGCCAAACAAGCACACAATTTGTCCCTCTAGTGCGTAAGTGGGCGGAGGGCAACTGAGAAGACTGAAAATTTAGGCCAAGTGCCTGTTTTGGGCCACAACTCCTGCAGCGCCGCAGTCCAACACTTCTCCAGTGCATCTGACGCTACACGTGAGGGGCAGAAGGAGGAAAAATAGGGGGGGAAAAAATTCCTATCCCTGTTCCTGGGCTCCCGCGTGGGGAGCGACACCTCCCAGGGGCCGGGATGTGCCGAGCTCCGCCGGAACAGGCCCGGGCAGGGAAAGCGCGGTTCCGCGGGGTCCCGCCGCCCCCGGTACCTGCGCTGAGGCACGGCCGGCCCTGCGGCACCTGCTCCACGCCCAGCACGGTGAAGGCGCCGCTGGGGTCCCGCAGCCGGGCCGAGCCGCCGCGGGCGCCGCGCTGCACCTCCAGCACCGTGCCCTGCATCCACACGGCCCGCAGCGCCAGCGGCGCCCGGCCCGCCCGGCCCAGCAGCCACGTCCCGCCCGCGCCCCGCTCCGCCCGCCGCAGCTGGGCCGACAGCACCTTCACCGGCGGGCCCGCCGCCTCCCCGGCCATGCTGCGGCCGAGGGCGGGAAGGGCGGGCAGAGCGCGGGGCCCGCCCCGGCGGCGCCTCAGGGGCGGCCGGAGCGCTGCGCTAACGAGGCTCCGGGGCTGCAGCTGTGGGAGCGGTGCTGTCAGTACACACCGCGCTGGGCCGGGCCCGGGGCTCATCGTGTCCCCAGGTGGTTCTCATTGACCACAGCGGCTGCACCGAGCCGGCACCCCCACACCGGGATGGAGCACCCGGCGCCAGGCTGGTCCTCGCTTTGCCTGAATTCGGCTCAGGATCGGCTCCTTAACGTGCAAAAAACTAAAAAAGTCTGATTGAGTAATGTGATACCGTTCGCTGTGACTCGGCCCCGCCCTGCAGGCCCCGCTCTGCTCTTTGGCCCCAGCCGGTGTGAGCCCTCCCGAGCCGGCCCGGGGGTTCTGTCGCCGCTCGATGTTTACTGCAGTTGATGGAGCTCCTCCGGTTTCATGAGAAAACAGGAAAATGCCCGTCCTGATTTTCCCAGGGATGCTCTCGGGATAATTATTATTGTATACTTATTCCACCTATGTGGAAATCTGGAGTGTAATGTACTGAAAGTATGGGGGGTTTTAAGATGGGAGACTTTAATTCCAAGGCCTTCAAGAATTTATTTGCTGTCTGTTTATATTACAGACAGGCTAATTCGCTTTGCCGCAGCCTGAAATCCTTGAAATGTTATGGTTTCTCTTGGGTGGGTGGGTGGGTTGACATTTTCTTTAGAAAATAAGCCAAGAAATAAGCTAATGCAAAAGCAGGAGGATGGAACAGAGAAAAGAACCGGGAAAACCAAGGGGATGGATTAATCAATGTCACAAGTCCTGTTACCAACAAAAGTGCAGAACGGGTAAAAATGCACAGAGAACTGACTCCCCTGCAATCATTCTTCTTTAAAAGAGCTTTTGTTCTCCACTAAAATAGCCAGTTTAAAATATCTGGTTTTATTTTGAGTAGCAAAATACATCAAAACCTTTTTTTTCTACTCACCCATGATGTTGTGAATTATTTATTCGTATATCTTTTTTCCAGAGATATTTTCTGTTTAGAGATATTCTGTAAATGGGACTTTATTCTTTTTATAGTGTAAGGAAGCAGTTAACTTTTTGTTACCACTTACAGTAAGGATAAAAGATAATATTGGTAATAACAATAAAAACACTGACATCTAAGCACAATACAGAACCATGTAATCTGGCAATCAAATAATATGGCTTACAGGAATAGAAAGACATTAGATGGTTACTGTATGTGAATGCAAAATTTGAGCAAGGCTCATAGGAGAAGAATATTTGTAATTTATGTCCCTGAGCTGCAGTCACTTGACAACATCAATATTTAGTTTCACATAAAAAAAAATTAATTGTGCCAAATATTGATAAAAGTATTGTATTCCTATTTGTTACTGCATAACAGGAGGGTCTAATGCTTATTAAGCCATTAAATCTACAGATGAAGGCAAGACCCCTACAAGAGTGTAATCTTCAGGAGAGACTAAAAGGTCCCTTTTAAAGGATTTGCCTTCTAGAAACTGTGTTATAAGAAGGGCAGAAGTGCTGGCAATCTGCATCAAGAAATGGATTTGTTTTCCCAAACCAGAAAATCCTTGTCTTTCAGTAAAATGCAAAATTGCACTGAATTATCTGCAAAGCTCTTACCAAAGAACTGTCTCAGCCAAGCACAGAGACACATTCCGAAGCTGCAAGGAAAGTCTGATGCCTCAACAGACTGGTTTCTGGAGGTGACCCCACAGTGATAATCCTCTGATTTAAGGGGAGCAGAGGAAGCTCAACACACAGTTGGAAAAGGCAATGAGTTGGTGCCTGACAGGCTGTAAATTACAGTGGGTTAAACATGAGCGGATTTCCTGAGAGCACCCTGGGTGAGACAGAGTTTTGGTTTGCACAGATTAAAAGAAAGGAATCAAACTTCTTCTGCCTGCTACTACAATGGGTGCCTCTCTTCACAGCAATCTTCAAGGACATTATTCCTCACACTGACGTGCATGTGAGATGGTCACAGTATGGGTAAAACACAAAGGTCAAACTACACCTGGATAACAGTGCAGAGCATAGCAGGAGCCAGGGCTCCCTCAATTACACTGGCACTGTTTTGTTGGTATGGTGCCAAGAGACCTTAGAAAAGAATTTGACCCCAGATCTCGGTGAAAAGCGATTTCCAAAGAAGCTGCAATTAGAAATTTTCTGTCCAGCTCAGACCTTTCTGTGCTCTTACTGACAGTACTACTTAAAATGGAAGAAATTCTCTGCTCCCCTCTCTAATTTTGGTAAAAGGCTGATATTACATAAGCACAAAAATCCTCCTTTCCCTCGGCCAGAAGTTCTGATCTATTACAGCCTTTCATCCTACCCAAAGGAGTTTTAAAAAATACCTCCACCCCAGTCCAAGGGTCAAAGTGTACAGAAAAGGTTCTTCAATTTTATTTCTGTTTCACTTTCCTAGCACTGAGAAGTCACTAACTGTGTTTCAAACGAAGTTTTAGGTTTTTGGGGTTGTTTTTAAGATTTGTACTTTGTACTAATGCATTACTCTGTAATGGAGGAGTCTGAGACTGACTGTCTTCCTTTTCCTGGTATTTCTAAGAAAATTCGCTGAAGGGCAACTTTTAGCACAGACAAGTATCAGGCTTGAGCTTTAGAAGATACATACTAGTTTAGATTTATTTTCTTATACTGCACACAGAACTATATGAAACAAACACAAGAATATAAAGTTCAGTTGTTCCTGGTGTTTGTTTTGTACTGCATAAAAGATGCAATGTGGACATGCTGACTGAAGTCTGGAAAACCATCTTCATCCTTCAAGGTTTTTTTTTTCAGACTACCTATCACATCATCACTGAATTTAATTAATTATTGGAAATTAACAGATCAATGAGTTGGAATAAATGGGTTGGAACTCAGTCATATATACATCCCTAACCTGAGCTTCCGCTGCTTGTAATTCATGCTTTGGGACTGATCAGTCTGGCAGTATGGATCCTAAATTGTGTTTGTCCAGGAATTTCAAAAGACCTGGAGCCAGCAAAGTCATCTGCTAAAACAGGAAAACTCCAGATTCAAGCTGCCAAAGTTAGCAGGGAGCTCTGAATAAGTGGCATTTTAGAAGTGATTTTCAAAAAGGCAGGTGAATGTGAGCAGCAGACATCCTAATCCCACTACTTACAACAACAAGAAGAGTCTGGCCTCTCCCACAGAGTCATCCAGCCCAAACTGCAGGCGAGTCACGCTAAGATAAGATGAATTAACATAACTTTCATGGCAAATCCTACTTGAGAACCTAATACAGATGCTATACGTTGCATGTTAGCTTATGTTTAGTGGAATCCGCAGGGGATTACGGCAAGAGCCTTCCTGCAGCTGCCAGGAGCTGACAGCTGCACCCAGTGTGTGGCAGAGAAAAACATCATCTCCTCAGAGAGGGTGGAAACCTCAGCTTGTACAGCCAGCCTTAGCATGAGAAATTATTTCATTGCTCTCACCATCACGCAAACTTAACCAGTTCCTGTCACTCACCACAGGCCCCTGCTGAGGGGAGCCTGCAGGCTCTGAACACAGAGCAATGCTCTCCCACTTCGCTGACTCATTTCACTTACAAAGAATACTCAGAGGAAATGCTTAGAGAGCTCCAGTGGTGTTCTGCAGAAGTGGGTGTCACCTGTTTGCTTTTTTCCACGGTATAAATATGCTGGTATGGAACCAAAATAAATTGGTGTTCTATGGAATAGGACTATGACATGATTAAAGAAAAAAAAAAATTAATTGTAGTCTTTACTTTACCAGTGTTGCTTGCTGCTCTGGGAGTAGTCTGCAAAGCTGGCTTCCAGATGGGCTTACTCAAACTCCTGCTCAAGAAAAAAAAGAACTCTTTTTAAACAGGAAATATGAATGGCATCCAAAGCGTTAGATCTTCATCCCGACTGAAGCGAAGCCAGTAGTCAGAAGATTTCATTTGTTCAGCCTTTCTGCTTCATTTCACTTCATAAAAGAATTAGAGAGTCCCTGTAAGCAGTGTTGGGGAATACAGATCACAGTGTCTTCCCTTGACAGCTGCTGCCTCTGCATAAATACACCCCAGTTAGCATCGTTAACATCCAGTTCATCCAGTGATGTGGGAGCAAAACAATTTTCCCAAAGAGAAGTAACCAGAAGAGGGGCCTTTTACTTTCAAAGTCTTAAAATCTGAGGTGTCAACTATTAGAAACATACAGAGAAGCCAGTAAAGCTGAGAAGTTACAGCCATTCCAGAGCATACATTGCCAGGATTCTGCAATGTTCAACGCCTCTTCAAAGATTCATGAAACAAATTTCTGGTGCTTAGTAGGGAGAGGCATTTACTAATAGTCAAATTTTCAAGCAGGCAAAATCCTTCTGAGGTCCAGTCAAAGAGACCATCTCTCCCTACAAAGCTGATCTTGTTTAAACTGAAAGCATCACAGCTACACCACCACCACCACCACTCAAGGTAATTTCAAATTAATAAAATGTTAGAACAGGATTAAAAGGCGTTCAGAGTTTAAATATAAGACTCAGGAATTTTAAACCAATCTCACATTACACGCACACAAAAAAACTTAAGGAATTTTGAGATTAATATCAAGCTATTTGAACATGAAAGTTTGAGGTGAGCCTCCAAGAGTTACAGGGAGCCAGAGAGGAGAAAGCCCTCCCCTCTGTTGCTGTGTGAGGTACTATTTTGCAGAGTCTTCAGGATATGGATATTTAATAGCAGGTTTGGTAGTGGCTGCAGGTTACACGACCAAGGAGACCATCAGCTCTTTTACTGTCACTGACAATTTGTGTGAAAAGTGAATTGCTCTCACTATTCCCTATGCTTTAGCCAGTTCTGTTACTTGTATTCCCATGAGTATCACCTAGGACACATATGTGGTGCCTGTCCTTGACTAATAAAATTTTGCTCTGAGATCAGAGAATCTCCATGTAAAATGGCTGCATTTATTTTCCATGAGGCTGTGACTAAAGCTTTGTCCAGGGGTGCAGATAAAAAGGATCCTGGACTAGACACAGGTCACTAACAGCACTGGCATCCTCTTCAGAAACTGGATAGAGCAATGGTCCTCTGACCCACCTGGTGCTGGCAGAAACATCAGAGGAAGAGCAGAAACGGCCTTGAAAGGAGGAACTGCCAAGGGCTGAGCAGGAAGGCTCTGGTATTGGTACTTCAGAAAGCAAAAGCAAAAATCCCAGCTGAAGGCACAGCTGGCCTCGTGCTGCTCTGCAGGGGGGACCCCGGGTGTGAATTCAGGACACACAGCTGAATGACTGAAAAAGCAAAAACAATCTAAAGAGGAAATCGACAGCAGTGAAACTTCTGTTTAAAGCTGCTCAGTAATAGCACTTACATGTTTTTATGTGCTTAGGTGGACTGGGACCTAAAGAAGCTTGAGTTTTCAATTTCTTACATTGTGGTGTTCATTCTGTAAAGCAAGGTTCAAAACCAGAAGTAGTTACAGGCCTGGATTTACTGCCATACCCCTACAAATAGCAGCCTGCTCCCCCACTACTGGCATGAGTGAATGAATGAATGAATGAATGAACAAATGTTGGAAAGTTAATTTTGGATTAAAGTCATATCAGTGTACAGGCTATACAAGGCCTATTTCCATAGGTCTAAGAGAAGATATAAAATGTCAAATAAAATCACATTCTTCCAAATCAGAACACTCAATGCATAATTGCTGAAGCATGTTTTCACATTCTCAGGCTTCTCTAATTTCTTAAAATAATCAAAAGACATGAGATTGTATGAACCAATGGGGAGGCATATCATCAGTTCATCTTAGAAAAACCTCTATGACCCATATGGAAATGCCACATTTTAAAATATAATTTGACATTAAAATGTCACAAACTGCCTCCACCTCTTGATTTAAGTCATTTTAATCACAGGTTCTAGTTTGCAGTCTGTACAGCACCTTACATTAAGCACTGTATTGAAGCTCTCTATTTAAGATCCATCTCTCTCCACTCAGCTCAGAATATGCTGGGTCAAATATCAATTTGATGGAATGAAGGTCAGACTTTTATTGTTGCCATTCAATGTCTTGAACAGCCATCACTGACAATTGATCCATGAGCACCTGATGGTATTCAGTTTTTGTTAAGTTAAATAAATCTACTGGTGCTCCAAGATTTTAACCACCTCATTCCATGAGACTTTAGACCTTGTGCTATGAACTAAACAGCAAAACAACATGAAACAGAGGAACATACAAAGAAATTGTGAAAAGGACCTACTTCCAGGAAAAATATTAAAATAACTTTTTATGGATGGATAACCTGACCTTTCTACTGAACTAGTGGTTGTGTGAAGACTGCAGTGAGGCAACTATATGAACACTTATGTACCTGAATATATTTAAACACTTATCAGTGAATTAAAAATATATGACTTTTTGTGGATGGCTAAAAGGTACATAGCTGTGCAACACAACCATTGTTTCTAAATGTAGCTCTATATAGGGCAGCCTCCAAACTAAACAACAAAACTGAGACTTGAAATTCAAATACAACCAAAAAGTGACTCTTTGGGGATTAAAAAATATTGAAGCCAAAAATGCACAAGCTTTCAGCTTGTCATGAAAAGCAGCAATGAATGATAAATGCAAACCCAGTACACCCTATTTTCAAAACCTGACAAGCCCACAAAACCAGACCTGCAGTAGTGCACTCTATTGCAAAAGCCATCAGTGCTTGTTTGTTCAAAATAGAAACTGTCAATACTTTAAGAGCCGAGAAGGAGACATCAGTTCAGTGCAGATGGTGCCTAACATCCATGCAAACATCACAGAGCACGGAGTGGCTGTGCAGAGCTGGCAGGACAGTGTGTGCACATTTTTGGTTGCACCTTTGGAGTCTGGATGTTCCAAACATCGAGCACTTACGTTCAAGTCATTTCAAATTTTGCACAGGAGCATTTGAAGAGCTGTAGCTCTGCTGCAATTTGAACCAATACGAATTTCAGACAATAGACACTTTAGAACAGAAAAGGGCAGTGCACGACCTCAGATTTGCAAGGCAAAGCTCATCAGAGTCCTTGGGCTCCGTTGCCGGTTACAGCTTCATTTATGAGAAATCATACAGGGTGAAAGTGAAAGGCACATATTGGTTTCTTTTTCTTATCTACAGATATCTCTGATTTGCCTATACATTATCTAGACTCTTATAAAGATAATACTGTGATTACTAATAACCCTTACAGGTGTGGGTTAGGTATTTTAATTTTTGTTGTTTTCACAGATTTTAAGGCAGAGGGAGAACTGAGCAGTTGACCCCACTGTTTGACACAGGCCACTGATTTATTTGCATCCTGGTGCCTCTGGCTCTTCCTTTGCTGGGAACTCAGTGGTGTGTCAGTCCACTCCAGACCACAAGAGCTTCCAGCACTCATCAGTGCAGCTAAGGAGGCTGAAGCACAGTCAGTATTGCATTCATGCTGTCATTGAATGCAATCTGTTTTACAGTCATTTCTGTGAAATCAAATACTTGGGTATTTGCAACAGCAAAAGTATTTTCCAGGCCCTTTTTTTTACCTCCATCCAGGTTGGTCAGCAACAGTTAACCAAATTAATGGAGGAATTAATAGCTTAGTGCAGACATTTTTCAAATGCAACTGGGCTGGCCCCAGTCACTCTCCAGTTCCACTGCTCCTCCCTGCCCAGTAAAATTAAGCATTCTGGTCTCTAGGTTAGATTCAGCAGCATAATGTGGATAGAGTTCACAAAATACTTTGGCTGGCCCAGATAAATAATAGTATATGCTGCTTATAAAACCAGCACTGCTCTGAATCAATCACTGATTCTTCTGACTGAACGGTGTATTCCCTCTTCTGAAGGGTCCACAGTGCCTTCTGAAAAATGCTACACAATTTGGGGCTCCTTTGGTATCAGCCCAAGTACTGGTAACTAATGACTTGCAAAAGCAAGGTTGGGAGGAACAGTCCTTATTAAGAAAATCTCTGAAGTTCAGAGTCACAGGAGTGTTCATTTAAATAGTGCCACATTTTACTCAAAGCTGGCAGTGTTTGGTGAACATCCCTTTTGCTTGTGTCTACTTTCCCTTCTGTTTCTCATAAATGTC